TTTAAAACGGCAACACTATATATTCATTTTAAAATTAATTTAATAGGTTCTATATGATAAATTTACGTAGGTAGGCATAACTAAGTTCAAAACATTTGGTGTTGTATTTCTAAAACCTAATTAGATTCTTGTTATGTAATATAAATCACAAATGTAAACGTTAAAACCTCGCAGCCAAAGAGATATGGATAATATATAGAATTAATTAATCATTTTAATGAAGCCGTGTATAATGATACAGTTACGTATGTCGTATAGTAACATATAAAATAACGTCTAATGTATAATTTTGTGTACATTTTATTCTTAAATTTTACATATTTAAAAAGATAAATTCAAATTCTAAAATAAATAAACATATAAATGAGTCTTGATTATTTTTGAAACATTGCAATACTTTTTGGAGCCTAAAAGAAATTGGCCCTATTTAATCCTACATTGGCATAGCAAAGTAAGATCTTAGACATGAAATTAATGACATCTACTAATTTAAATTAAAAAAAAGGAACATATAAAACTTTTTTAAACAAAAAAAATAAATCAATCAAAACGTCAAGTTTATAATTTACATGACATAATACTAGTTCTGCATTTCAATCAATTTCAACAAGATATGTTTGAATATCATGCATGTGATGAAAATTTTGAATCGGAAATGGAATTGAGGTTCGTAATAGTTTTAGATGTAAGTAATAAATATTAATAGTTTCGTATGTAACTAATGGAATGTCTGCCGTTTTAATTTGCCGAGACAGGTTTTAAATTGTATCGTAAATTTAAAGTGCAGTTAGCACTTTGAATATTATTGGGTCGATAGTAAACTCAGTTGTTTAATGAAAACCTTCGGTTTCAAAACGGTGCATCCATAAAATTGTTTACCGGTTTGATTGTGCGCAAATCAATAAGCAAACGTCATAACTTTGTAATGGGGTTTAATTGAATTTAACGCATTTGCACTTTGGCAGCCCACTGCGATATAAAATATTGGAATAGAAAAGTTGATTACAGTACTTTTTCGGTTGCTTTTACGAAGGCTTAAAATGTTAAAATCTTTATACATATATATTTTCAATAAAATTTGTGGCTATAGTAAATTATCGTAAAAAAAGGGCTGTTATCATTTCAATCAAATTAATTTAATAGTATCATTAATACTAATTAATTGATTACAATATCTAACTCTCAGTTCTATCTTTCGTTTTTGACATTTAAATTGGAAATATCAGGTAACTTATAGGAACATTCGGGTATATTATATTAGAAAGAACATATTGCTTGTCGTTACTTTGTACTAAAATTCGTTAAAACATGTACACGTATGTACAAAAATTGTGACCGTCGTTGTCTATATGAATTAAGGGCAATAATTTTCTGCTTTATCTTAGTCTGTTGGTTCAATCATATGAATTAATTGTTATAAACTTCCAATATAATCTAACTACTCATGTAGAATAATTGGCAAGAATTGATAGATTGATTTGTCATCGATGGATTCCATTTAGTGTGTTCAAACCATCTCTTAAAACTTGCCATGCAGTTTTCAACCTTGTTTTATTATTATACGGCTGTTTTCTTCTTTGTTTTGGCCAAGGTTTGCTAATTTATTCTCATAAAATAACGTCTAACGAACAATAATTTACTTAAATATAAATTCAACATGCAAAAATATTCTTGGAATGTTTTTCGTATGGGAAGAGTATGAATTTTTCATACGTAAAACGTTATCGGAAAACATAAAAATGAAATACTATATTTTAATATTCTCGTACTTATACGCATCTTATAAAAACACAAAATGTAACTTATTATACGACTTTTTGAATGATTGCTAAGAATAAAAAATGCCTTCGACAGCCAGAGATTTTGTTTTAAAAAAAGGTTTTTATCTATCCTATCTGTTTAAACATTATAAAACACGCTTATCACATAAATCTCACAGTTCTATCTAAAAATAATTTGATATCAACGCAGATATCTTTCTACGAAAAGTAAATTGAAAAACTTTCAATGAAAAGGGAATGTTTTGAAGGTTGGAGATATTTTCTCGGAATATGTGATTCCTTAAAACATAAAGGCCAAATATTATATTAATATCTCGTTGAATTAAATGTTAACGAAACCATCTTCGACCTTCGGCATTTATAATGTTTATTCAAGAAATAATCCCCTTATGTAAGAAAATTTAAATTTTGTAGCATGAAATTATTTTGGCGTACAATTTTTATGACATTTCTCATTTTTATAATAGACTGTTAATAAATTAAAATAGGTTAAAGTCAATGATCCTTACACATATGTAGTATCTAACGAAATGCACTTAATAAAAACCGACAAATAATGTGATGTAAAAATAGCTGTAAAATATTTAAACCGCAACCGCAGCATACCACTCCGCAACATAATAATAGGCCCTTCAGCAAAAATATACATTAAATAAATTTTTACATTGTAAATAAATACTTTGAAGTACCTATTTGAATTTTTTATTTTATATTGATTGATAGTATTGGTTATCGTTGAGATTGTTACTTAAAGTGATTTTCACACCTCCAATTATAATTTTTACCCATTTTTCGCACTAGCATATTGAAGTGGTAGTAGTTTTTTTTTATTTTATTATCTGTCAATTATTCATCTAAATTTTACCTTCACTTTAACTAAGTGTATTAAATATTGATTTAACTTATTCAAATGAAATTCTCTATTATTTACTATAATATAAATTGAGAGGTTATAATAAATATGTCATAAATTATAACTTTGTATATGTTAAAGTCACTCAGAATTCACAGACGGCTTTACTGTAATAAGTCCAAATAAAAAATGTTGAAGCGATATCGGATTTTCCCAAGGGTGGTTGGGAAAACAATATCTCACTTTGTTACTTTTACTAAGTGGATAACGGATTATCACCCACTTACTATTCCCCACTCGTTTAACGAGACATAACTAAATAAAATGTATGGTATTCATGAAACTGGAGTTACCGACCTAGTTTCATCTGATTTAATTTACCATTTGCTTAGGAATGTCGTCTTGTTTGTGTCATAAAAATATCATATTACGAAAACAGAGGCCAATTATGCCATGTCTTTTGAGTATTTACGCATGAATCAGGGAAGTATTATATTTGGGCCCAAGATTGAGTTGAGTGTATATTGTACATAAAATTTTTATATATTTATGTATGTAATAAAGTAAGTATGCAGAATTCGAGACGCGAAAAGAATTTCCTTAATATTAGAGAATGTGATGAAACACGTGAGATTGGGTTACATAGAATAAATAATAGGGACATATTTTAAAATGTTATTCATTGAACTAATCTATTTGTGTCGCTGCTCGTGACTTCATAATGATTTCATCACATCTTTAGCTGAGAGCCGTGAGCGACTGGGCATATCTCCAGACCTGTCCGCCAGCTCAAGCTATCATGTGATACCAATACATCTACAATTTGCTGATGTTCTTTACTAATTTACTAACTGCTGCTTGATTTGTAACTAGATAAATACGCTATGATTCACATCGTAAATATTTATATATATGTATCTAAAATAAATGGTTATATCTGTTTAAACAACAAAATAAAATCTTATTTATGTAACGTACACGAAGTACTGAATAAAAAATAACATTTTGTTTCTGATTTGATTAAAAAATCCTAAAAATCAAAACAGTATAGAAACAAATTCAGAAAGTTTTAAATTGCTTTTGAAGTACGTAGTTAAAAATTTTAGTAAAACGTGTAATAGTTGCGAAATTCGGTTTATACCGTCGTGATGACGTTGCGAAGCCCGTTTTTATCAAAGTTTCATAAAGTTCATATGAACAAAATGTCATGAACCGAATGTTGTCTAGTTCAATACACGTACAACAAAAAAAATCCTCTGAACTAAAATGACCTGAATACTATGTATGATGAACGTTTTGATGATTATTATTTATTTCTTATTATTTCGTTACAAAATTATAGATGTTCTTGTAATGAAACTTGAGGAATTTTTGAGTTGCAACATGTTAGGAAAAAGTCCACTATCTCTGCTTTATGTATATATAAGTACGTATTTTCAAAAAAAAATGGCGACCGAATTGTTATTTATACAACGTCAGAGTCTATCGCGATATGAAAGTTTATGAATAGGTATTGTTTAGTTTGCATTTTGTTCGCTTGAAACTTTAGATTCATTTCTTTTTGAATATTGTTTGCTTTTTGTCGTTACGCTTAACACGTCTCTGTATAAAAAAGCATTCACTTTCTGACTAAAAGAACCTCTTTAGTGATTGTAATGTATTTATTCATGCGATTTACTAATATTCTAACTCTAATTTCCAATTGTTTCAATTTCTTTGTTTCAATTTCATTTGTTTATCATTTCCCGCAGCATTGCGTATTCAATTTATACTAATATTAATCTTTTGACTGTTCTTGGCTCGAAGCGTTTATATGAACTATATTATAAAACATGTTTTCTATTGGAGCAAAACGTTACTATTCGTTACGTTACCCCTTGACAGTTCAATTATTCAATTATTATTTCCTACAATTATTGCCTTTGGAGTTGTTAAAGTAATTTTAAACATCCATATAGTATTACTAATACGTTATCGATATGTTATCAAAGTAGTTGTCCATTTTATTTCTATTTCTGGTAAGCAAGTTGACCTCATAACATATCTTAATAAAAGTGCTCATTATGAAATGGCGAATTCCGATTTTACTATTCCATTACGTTTGAAGTCACCTGCTCTGAAATACCTTTCATTCATTCTCTTTTAGCGACTATGATTATAAAGACTTTTATTGTCGTTGGAAAATTAGAGCGTTATGTTAGAAATATTTCAAAGGAGATCACTTTTCCATTAACTGTTAAGTATAAATTTCATTGTGATAAACATTTCTGACTTAATGTGATACTTTGTTATGTTCTTATAGCTTTATCCTTCAATTTTTTTGCCTTATATTTTATATTATTTAACAATTATTTATTTGTTCACAGTCATGGCGAAGACTTGATAGTGACTCCGTTCGCGCAGGTCTTAGCGAGCCTGCGCAGCGTCCGCAACAACTTCTTATGCCTCACCAATGTACCAGTTTCGAAGTAAGTACCTTTCGAGCCACAATATTTTATAGAAACTAAGATCTCTTACACACACATGCATACATAAAAGCACACATGCAAAAGCATCTACGTCTTCTTGAATTCATCCTAAGTGAAATCAGAATATAGGTGCCATTTTCTAAATATATTCAATGGTAATTAATAATATGTAATTATTAATTATTCAACATAAGTCAGCTGGTCTTCAGCTAAACAAAAATGATATCCATTTATTTGTCAGAATGCTCGAATGTCTGAATTGTAGAAAGTAAATAATATATAATTTAGAGATGGTGTTTTGAGCCATTTAAGGAGTATATGCTGACGAGTTTTATTATTGTTGCGTGCTTTGTTGACAACATAAATGATTATAATAACTCCATAGTAATGTATTAACACTTTTTAAAAAAGTATTAAAAGTACACTGCATACTGTTGTTATTGCAAGGTATCAGCAGAAACGTGATAATTAATTACTAAAGCGCATAGTAAATTATATGTTTTTCCTACATGATAAGTACGTGATCTGAATTAATTTAGCCAGTGTAAAAAATGTCTATTCAATGCTGACGTCATTTGTCCAAAATTACCAATAAAGGTATTTAACCTTTTAAACCTACGTAATTGGTAAGGAAACATCCATACCATGAGATCTTTTATTCGTTTATTTATAGGATGGTAAATAAATAGAACCACTTAATCTAATATTTCTATTTGACTGACGAAGTATATCTTTTCGTTTAGATCCTTCTTAAACAGATTAAGAACAGTGTAAATATACCTTTCACCGAAAATTAGTAATAAATACTTAATATCCAAGTAAAATACGGGATACATTTATTTGTACAACAATACATACTGTAATAGAAATTTAATTACCACACAAATAAATTGAAGTAAATACAATGAATGTTTATATTCGCCGCCGACTAAAAATTATATTAAGACGGGGTTTTTGTACTTATTCAAAAGGTATCAAATTATAAAGGTCTTTTTTTGGCGTGCAACTGAAATTCTTCTTTGTTATAACACGACAGGCCTGTGCCTTTCAAAGTTTGGTTTGTTTGATACAAAATAATCAAAAGAAAAAGCAACTTCACAATGAATAATGAATTTACAAAATGTGGAAAGTAACAAGAATGTTAAGAACATAATGTCATTAAAGTATGTGCATGATATATTAATAAAAGCAAGTTTTTGTATGTTTGTTTGTTTTTCAAACACTCGAAATCAAACCTCCAACCCTGAAACCATGGTTGGAGTCTAGTAAAACAAATAATATTTAAAAAATATATAACATCTCTCTAATTACAAATCATTTTAACTTGTACGTCATTCCAACAATGTGCCTATATTTTTATGTTTGTTCTTCGTATAAAAATGTTTGCTGATTGAGAAGATATATAAACGTTTATAAGACTATTATATTTTACAATTCCAATAGAACAAGAATTAAATTTTATCGTGTTTAGAAATAAAAATTTTTCAGTGTAATTTTGGGAGCAATGTATGGAGAAACAAGCTAAAAAATTTATTAAAATAAAATATAGTATTAGTCTTAATACACTTAATCAACCAATATGATTTGACGGAACTACCACTTATAGTATTTCATTCACTATAACTACTTGAAACATGATGAATAAAATCTACTATTATTTACAATTGCATAGTGATTTTATGATTTGTATCAAAATCTACTTTAGAATTATTATTATGATAAGATAAGTGTATCGAATGCGTTATTTCAATCAGATATAACATTCCAAGTAACTCGTACGTTATTGAGTCATATATTTCTGAATAAAGTAATCTGTTACATACCAGTTCTGTCACGACTCCTCCACAATGCGTCATAGTAAATCACGTTGTGTATTTAAGCCATCATATGTGATTGGTTGCGTGACAATTCAACTTTTACTGATAGCTATTTAAACATTTGTATTAAAATTAATAAAAGCTTTTGTTACTACAGTTACAGCTATAAATAGTATTCATTTTATTAAGTTGTATGTAGTAATACTTATTTAAACTTCTTAATAACTATAAACTTAGTATTCTATTGTAATACACATGTGTAATTATACTATTTACATCATACGTTGGAAGTGACAGTGAATAGCGTCGGTAACCTCGACATTTACGGACCACTTGTACGAGTTAATTACCATGTTAAATAACTAAAGTGTACAATAAAACAACTTTCCCTTACTCTCTATTCAGATTTGTTATTTTACTAGAATCTTCGTTCAACACAAACATACATACATGTATATCAATTTAATGTAATAGTGCTTTATGTTTGGATTATACAGTTTCCGATATAAAACTAAACAAGCACTCGACCTAAATCTTCTCGGATATTGTTAGACCAAGCAATAAAGTATACTCGTATTCGTGAAAGAAATAGATCTGTGAATGGTACTAGTAGTATTATGTTTCCAATTTCTCTCAATTTGATGCGGCACAAAGGTTAGCCACGTCGTTTGTGCGACGGTCACCGAGTTATAAATTTTTGCTATGAGAATAACTTCAATATGAGAAATTATTTATTTCTGTAAAGCTGCTTTCTTCTGAAATTTCTTTAAAATGCCATCAAAAGTACTCAAACCGAAAGATTATATGTCAAAGAGCTTTTGCCTTAACGATACCAAACAAAATGATTTTGAAAAAAAAATGTACGTACGTAAGAAAAATGTTGAACATTTTCAGAGTATTTGACTTTGCCTTAACGTATTGATATGAAATGATCTGCTCAGAGAAAGTAGAAACGTTTTAATGATGCAAAGCAAACAATTACTTTAAATATTTAAATATCGAACTCCAAGTATTGTTTACAGAATAATGTGCTTCATTTCTTTTGTAATGCGTTGTTTACCTATTATATACTAGAAGACCCGGCGAACTTCGTATCGTCCTATAATCAAGAAATATCTATTACGTTTTTTTATTTATATTTTTGGAGTTTACCTGTAAGCCATAAATCTCCGTGTTTTGAAGTGCGACAGAATGATTGACATATTAGTTAGTTGTCGAATCTAATGTCAAAAAAAACGTGTGTATGGGAAATAGAAAAGGGCTGTTTTTATGGTTTTCCCAGTGATGAATCATTTTTTTCAGCTTTTATACCTTCCCTGAACCTTCACGAACATTTCAAGACTAAGATAAGATAAATCCGTTCAGCTGTTCTCGAGTTTTAGCGAGACTAAGGAACAGCAATCCATTTTTATATATATAGAAGATTACAAAATAGATTCGTGTGAAGGATGATTGAAGGTTGAAGAATAAATCTCCAGCCATGTATACTTATTTTAATACAATCATTAGCTCACGTCAAATTGTATTAGACAAAACAGGTCAACTGTTGTTCTAATTTCTTCCCAACAATAAATAAGGATTCCTGATGAATAAAGAGAAATTTAAATTTGATTTAAATTCAGAATATACTTTTTATCATTACTTAGAAACACCTTAAATTCATGAAAGCGTTGTCCAAATTTCGTTATACTTGCTTCAGTAGCTTTAGATCCAATTTGTTCAGTCAGTCAATCAATCTGTACCTAATAAAGTTTGACATTTCTTTATCTAAGGAACAAGTTGTATTCGGGATTCCTTAATACCTTGACGTTCTGCGACATAAAATGTTCCAGCAGTACGCTACGTAGGTTGCAAAATTTATATATATAAAACATTTGTGATATTTACTCTTTGTTTGTGCTATTTTTTTGTTAAAATAGATTTTGGAAAGATTGATCTTTGGATTTACATCATAATTTTGAATCACAACTAAGTAAAATGGAAAAATTACATATAAAAATTTTACTCGTGTAAAAATATTACTATCATTGTAGTCTCTAATACCCCCATCAATACGTTCTTCCATTCTTATTTATACTATAAGTTATTATATATAGTTTAAGTCCGTTTCAGGTATAACCTTCTTATTGAATCCATACTAAGAAATACGTCGTCAAAGAGAATGGCTCTTACAAAGCAAACATTTTTATGAAAGAGTAGGATCAAATGAAAACAATTTTTATAAATAAATCATTTAATCCCAGATATATTTATTTTGTTTACAAAAATGAAGGATAGTCTTTTATTTTGTTAACACAAAAAAATATTTTGATTTTATTAAAATTATTTTATTAATGTTTACGGTGTCATCTCTTATGATTTAAAAATGTTCTTTTTTTAACTCATTAATTATTAAATAATTTATTCAATCCTTTTATTATTAAGAATATATTTGTAATTCATTCTTTGTTTTAACTTTTATGAACTGTATTTTTTTATTAATTTCAGATCACGTAGATCATCAGGTGCGGCAACAGCTGTCACTCCACAGCCAAAGAATTTCAATCCAGGAGGTAAGAGTGACGTTCATGACGTTTTGCGTCGGATCTCGGCTCTTTTGTTGTATTTATATATAATCAGTTCTTTCATATATTCATACATAAGTCTACCAATAATCATAAGTTTACGGGAAAATCATTCAAGTAAAATTCTCCAATGAAATCGTACTTTATTTTTTATTAAGTATCGTATAATATGTTATTAGAAATCTATAATTAAAAATAACATTTTCAAGGAGAAATTAATTCGAAAATTTTGATAAAATTATTATCTATGGTATTTATTATATAGATAAAATTAATATGGAAGTTATTCAAAAATGTAACTTTTAGTAAGAGCAATTTAAGAATACATTTAAAACAAAAAAAAATGAACCGGTCAATAAATAGTAACAATATATATTTAATAGATCTTATAAGATTTCACCTTTGAAAAATTATTTCATTTATTTTCTCATACAATTTTTAGATTATAATTTTTGTTTTTTTTTTGTACTAAATTTAAAATTGTCTATGTAAGTACTAGTCGCTCAAATTGCCTATTATTTCTTACTATCAGATGTTAGCGTTTTAATTTTCTTATGATTTGCATTTGTTAATCACATGACTAAGAGCAAAATGATCAAAATTTAAAGGTTTGTTTTGCTAACAGAAAATAAAATTATACTCGTGCAGCAAAATGTGAATTTTTATATTTCGGTTTAATCGTGATATAAATATTAACTTAGTTAATGAAAAAAATTGAACTTGTCAAAGTATCTGAATTGGATCTGACAGGTCTATCGGAACTTGTTACGTTTGTTTTGATTGGATTTCGGTATCCAGAAATTGTTGTAACAAATTTATATGAACTTTGACTTACTAACTTTATGTTATATGTCGTTGGCATTAAGATAAATTTAGTTATAAATAGTATTTATTTAAAAGGGCCCTATTCTATCACCTGTTAGACAAAAAGGTTTGATTTCAAATATGCTAAGACACTTCGTAGTACCTACATAAAAGTAAGCGACATATTCAAACAGATATATATCTCAATAATATATTTTGAATAACATTTAATAAATCAATGAACAAATCTCTTTATAATATTTCTAGGTATCCTAACGAAGTTGATGAGACGAAATAATTTTGTAATATGTCGCTAACAATATGAATTCGTATTAAATAAATCAACATTATTATTGAATATTAAATCAATATGAGACCATAATATGAGTAATTTGATTTTATTACATAATAAAATCTATACATTTATATACTTGATTTAAATATTATTTCATCTTGACATAATAATAACATGTTTCAAATATACATATAAATTCATCCATTTCGCTAACGCTTCCGTTGATATATTTAAAGCAAATTTAATTATTAATATTAATTGGCTGACTGTGTGACTTCTATTCAGTTCTCTAATTGAATGGTTCCATTTTTTAAAAGGTACGTACGTAATTGAATGGCCGGCTTAACTAGTTGACGGCGATACATGCATATTTATGAATAGCACAGAGCTTTCGATAAATAAACGAGAAAAACCTTTTTTAAAATCCTCCCACACGCGTTTTGAAAGGCAAATTATTGATTGGAGCCTTTTTTTCTTCATTTATCCTTTTTAAATATACTTTGTACAAGATAATGAGATCAAAGATTTTCGCGAGTATTTATTTAAATGAAACTGATATTTTCGGATTTACTACACGATTTTTTATTTTTGATTATAAACTACATACTCTCGACGTTTCGGTTGCTGTAAAGAAAAATCTGAAAATATTAGTTTCATTTGTATAAGATAGTTGTAAAAATATTACGTGTATAGTCATAATTTGAGATTTTTCGCTTACGTAAACCTTTTTATTTGTGACAGATAAATGCAGCATCCCCTCTGTCTGGTACAAAATCAATAACAGACGATGGGAAATCCTTTTAACGGTCGTTTTCCCTTTACCGAGCATTCTATAGCATCCGTGTGCTTATAGTGGTTTATATTTTAAACGTAACTAGCTTATAATAAAAACAAAAAATTGACAATCCTATGATTTATTGTTTCCTTGTACTTTTAATTCTATATCTGAAGTTTGCAAAAAAATAATAATAAATTAACATTTTGATTAAATTACTGTCATGCTGTTTAGTATTCTTGCATGAAAGACTTCTCAATAATACAGGGAAAAATTTTGGGTTTACAACACATTAAATATTGATTTACTGTAAAATTTATAATCATTTTAATGGGTTAACTAAATAAATAGTGTCATTTTAATCATCAAAAACACATTCCTTTTTAAATTTTATTCTTTCGGGTGATTTTAGAATTAGGAACAGATATAGCGTGGAGAAGAATGTGGTGATAATATATGTATAAACAAAAAGTATATGAAAGACTTTCATATTTTATCATTTAGATAACTCAATATTAATAAAAATAATCATGTATCACTAAATGTTGATATTGAAATAAAATTTATAAGATTAAAGAAATTGATAAACACATTTTGATTATTATATACATACATACATATTTCAACAAACGCAATTTCAGCACAGGCCTTACGATATTAAAAATATACAAACTACTAGAAAAAATCAAATATTCACTAATGTTGGTGCCCTAAATGCCATTGTATATCAAATAATTATGGTATGTATATAATATGTATAAAATTTTGCACAAAAGTATATAGAAACTTAAAAGTAACACAAATTACCTTTGCAAGAAACTCCGGCAAAAGCTTGTAGACGTGTCATGTAAGTACTTAGATGGTTCCTAGATGTCGCTAGTTGTAACATTTGTCTCTTTAAGCAATAGTTTTTTAAACTATCTAGATTTTTATTCCTTCTTTTCTTCTAAATATTTGTATTTGAATCGGACACACAATAATTATATATATTTAATTTGTTTAATAGTATTTTAAAGATAAATAATTAGATATATACAAATAAAAAGTAAATTATCAATTTAAGTAGTCTGATACTTCTTTTATAATCCTTATAATGAAAGATAATTATTAGCTTTCTATTTATAGAATGAAATATTATTAAGACTATATATTATAATTATTAAAATATTAAATAAATTTCATCGTCAAAATTTAAGACAAGACAAAAGGATAAAACAAAAAATTAAAATTAATTATAAAAGGTAGATGAAATTTCATAATCCAACCAAGAATGTTATAAATAGAAAAATAAATAATACATATCTTTATCAATGGAGAAGTAATTCACTAACAAGTACATCAAACAAAAGTTATAGAAATTGAAAGCCTTGTTTCAAATAGCGCTGGAAATGTTTCAAAAAATCGTGACTTTGTCATTGTCATGTAGAATTAACAAGTATTTCATGAAAACAACGCTCGGTGTCATATCCTATGTAGCATACACCCTTATAACTAATGTATTTATATATATTTTAACTCAAAGAGAACAAAAGTGTTCGGTAATTCTGTATTTTTTAAAGTGAAAAGTGTTTGATTCAGGTAAGAGTAATAATATTAATACACAATGTAAAAACGAATATTTTGAGGCCTTTGCTTTTGTTATTGGTTATATTTTCAATGTTTTATTCTGAATTGTCGATATCTATAGTTAAATAATTATGTATATATCGATAGTAACGATAGTTTTCTATTGAATTATTATATAAAAGATTTTCTATTGAACTTAGACTAGCACAAACAAAAGTCTTTGACAGCTTGGATAAGATCCTTATTGAGAAACATGAAAGGAAGAGAACACGGTTGTATTATTATATTAAACTTTGCATATTTGCAGGGTTTTCATTTAAATCAATACTCTTAGCTGACACGTTTATAAAATAAAATTAAAAAAATATATGAAAAATACTTTAAATTAAATATTAAGAACGCCGTCTTATGAAAATTCTGTTAATAAGGAACTGTGATAACTTGTTAAATACATCTTAACAAATTTCGAACACAAAGCAAGGCTATCATTTAGGCCTCGGCTCGCGACACTCTCTAATGAGTTCTTCGCATCCGATTCAGGACACTGAATGTCATTGGTGTGTTCCAGGGAAGTTGGAAGTGGTATTTAGGCCATTGCAAAGCTACAAATACTTGTACGCCATTATTAAACGTCAAGAGTAATTTAAAAAGAAAGAAACACAAATGTTAGAAATTCGTTTATGAGTCAATTATATATTTAATGATGACTTGATTGAAATAGTTTATAAAAAGTTAATTTTAAATATAGTAAAAAGAAATCTCACCTCTAGCATGAGTCATGACTATAGGAGGATGATTAATAAAAGATTTAAAAAAAAAATCTACAAAGCTACCGGTTATGTATTTACTTCTTTATAAACTCAAAAAAGATAAATGAAGAAATACAGTTGTTATTATACTATTTGCTATTGGCTTATTCAGGCAAGATTATGTCAAAACATTTGGATCTAGTGCCAAATTAGTTTTATCCACTAAAGTTGTACGTAATTTTTCTACAGAATGAAGCCAAAATCGACTGGGAAACCTTAGTTCAAACTTGTTTATTCTAACAAAGATTTAGCTGTAAAACCAGTAATTAGATATGACACCTTTGTTTTTATTTTTAAATAATCAGATATCCTTCGGGTATATTATGTAGTACTGGGCACGAGATTAATTAAGACAACCTATTTTATCTGCTCTAGATGTTTTGTGTCGAGGCTACGAATGACGATAATATCTTTTGTTTTTTTCTTCATCATTTATGACTTAATGCCAACACTAAAATCTCGCAAATTTAATAGCGGTTTGCGTGAAAATAAATATAAAATTTTTAGCTTTTAAAACAATGGCTACTATTTCAATAGTATATTAAAGAGAAAGTGATTTAATTTTGAACTTTTTTCGACATGAGTATTTATATTTTGTCTTTTTAACAAAAAAAAGACACGTTTTTTTATATAAAAAATAATTGGCATAACTAATACAGTTCATTTATAAAAAAATATATCTTATTAAAATAACATGAATTAAAAAAATCATTCTCTGTCATTTAATTATTATTGATGATAAAAATATAAAAACAAATGTACGATTAGGACAATAACAAAGACAAAAGTCAATCACATGAAGATTTTACTCTCGTCAGACTTATTACATAACGAACAGTAAGTAAACAAGAAATAAATTTATGTCCAAGGTTCATATTATTGGTATCTTCTCAATGGTTCTTTGAACTCACAATGGGGTATTTAACTGTTAATATACTTAAATTTGCACGTGTGTTATTACAAAGCGAAACGTCACAGATCGCATATCTCGTCTGAACCAAATGATCTCTATATATTTACTTACAATAAGGTCAAAACTCAAGTAAGTTGTGACGTACCTATCACGGCCTACACGCATGCTCGTTGGCAACAGTTTATCTAAAGGTCGCCTTATCAGGACCTTTGTATGCATCTTTGTCAGACATCGATTATTTTTGCGAGAAAGGCTAAATTTGTTTCCGGAACACCAGAAGGCTGAAACTGATAAAATAGATATAGAATGTAAACACATTTACTATTTAGTAAAGCCAATTTGATAATAATATACTGATGATATAAATTATTACACAACAAAATTATAATGTTTAAAATTATTATGTATTAAAGAGTCTCTTATAATTAAGTTACATAAAGATTAAACTCTCTGGGTTACACAGGTTATTTAGAAAAATAAAAATATCATGATAGTCATCATTGACGTTTTATTTAATTCAAATTGTTTATAATCTATGATTTTGTAAAAAGTGTAGGTACATGTGTGTAAAATGAGTCAGTCATTGACACGGAAGGCAATTAAAATGTAAAAAAGTAATTACTAATAAATATCGCCGTTAAATTGATGTTGCATAAAGTAAAAGTCATTTGAGAAAATATGAATAATATTCTAGATGCGTTGTTTTTAATAATAAAAAATAATACCGCAACTTATCTTAATTGCATATTCATTCGATGAGTTATGTCAAAGTATGTATACTAACTGTACTATAATTTTACTCATCGTTTATTGGCTAGCGCAGAATTTTGAATCTCTTCAAAGTGGGAAATCCATATAGTTATAATATAATCAAACAACGATAATTGTCAATAAAATTGTTCAATACTTATTCTTAATCAAGGTATGGGTTTTTGCTTGACGATATTCTATTAACCAAGTATTTACGACAAGACTAACGTCATTTTCTTTGAAATAAACTTGCGTAAACTTTGCGCAACCACTAGCTTGCAATTTGCCGCCTAATGGTTTAAAGTTTTTCATTCATAACTCGCCGGTCATATGAATAAATCTTTTAATTTATGATTAACTTTGACTATTGGTCTTAAACAATCTCAGAATATCTAAAAGAAAGTTGTATGTATCATTACAAGTCAAAGCAAGACTAACAAACTGTACCAATTCTTTGAAGTCGAAAGTTGACGCCAGAAATGTGTGTCACATATATTCGAGAAGTGGTGTATATTTGTCCGTCACGCTAAACTGTCATACTGAACTTAATATAATATTGTAAGTTCATAAAAAAGTAAAAAATTACCTATTTTTATCCCAGAAAAATGGTAGATCGGGAATGAAGTCTCGAGTAAATACTAACGTAACCGTAAATTGAGTATCGCTTTAACCGAAATCGTCTTGGAAACACAAACGTAAATATGCAATAATTTTGAATTCCTACAACTCGTATTACGCAAATCGTGATAAAGTTTTACCATCTAAACTGTTTGGAACATCTGATTAATAGACATCCGGAGTAATTGCTTTGAATTAGTTTCTACATAGTTTAACTAAATTGGATGTAATAAGAGGTACAGATCGCAAAGATATGGTTGCGATAGCAAATTTTATCGATAACTTGTAAACAGCCGCTATCCATATACATTTGATCTTTATTTGATATTGTCTTTTGTATTTTGCAATTATATAATAACCTTAATGATATAATGTTAAAAATATATACAAATCACTTCCATAAAAACAGAATTATCTTAAACGACGTCGTATTTTATCATTGTTTTTCGTACGAAAACCTGAACATTTAACTAAGCCCATATCAATATAAATACGACAGTGCGGCTAAAGAACTATTTTAATATTATTAATATTGTTCCAGATGAAGCATATATGAAGCTAGCTTTAGAAACCGTCGAAGAGCTGGACTGGTGCTTGGACCAGCTCGAGACGATTCAAACACATCGCTCCGTCTCCGACATGGCTTCGCTCAAGGTAATATAATTTACTGACGCAATTTTACATGATCATATCGTCAAATCATTTTTCATATTACGGTTTTTCCAGTACGACGTAAAATAAACGACATGTATTGTGTCCATTATATGGTTGCACTTTACTTGTCTGTTATTAAAAGCAAAAACTAAATATGAAAATTTAAATGTTATTCTTCGTATGACTCGCTTATTAAAAGTAATAAAATCAATTGAAATTTAGTGAGCGCACAATCGTATGTCAATATTGTGTACCAAAAAAAAGCAATTTTCTAAAATATATATAATATTTTACACAGCTACCTGCATGATTTCCTCAGCGTGAGTTCATATTCCTTACATGATAGGTATATGTAAGTATTTAGTAACGAGCACGTCACAAAATCTGAGATGATAGTGTTTACATACGGTTAATAGTGATCTCAGTCGAAATCTGGTGATCCATTATATAATTCTGAGAAGGCTATCTCGTTGATCATAACGCATGATTGAAGTCTTCTAGATACTAATAATACTAATACTGATATATACTATAGTTATATATCTATATATACTATAGTTATATATCTATATATCTCACACATCTGTGTGAGAGGATTAACTAGAATCTAATTTTGATATCTTTTCAATATTTCATACAACAGCCGTAAGAAACCGTAACCAATCTGAAAGAACCATTAATTAAAACATTGATTGATGGTTTTATATCAGTACTAATTAGGAAAATTCTAAGGTTTAAATTTCATCAAAAATCGATTGTTTAAATTATTTTCATTCAACAAATATATTTGAATGAATTTAAATGTTACTTACGATATCATGTTTAAACACTAAAAATTGATTAAATAAAGAAAACGATACTGGGTATTGTCTAGCGTCTGATAGTCTGCTAAATCCGACAGCGCCTGAGGGGACTGAGACAAATAAATTTATTCATACCAACATAAAAAAACAATACAAATAAACAATAAGTTGGAACTGCTTAGTATTCGTATGATAAAGAGGATGTTTTGAAGAAAAGCCGATCATCAAAGAGATTTTATGTTATGTATAGATGGAAAAAGACAATACGTATGTGATTACGTGATCGACGGTCGGTTTATTTTAGATAATTTATTAGATTTTGTGAATAAATATAAAGATCGTACACCTATTTAGTTGATTATGAAATACGGGTGGATGTACACGAGGGATTGACGAGGTATCTTTGAGTGAAAGTTGCTACATACATTTTGGTAATCATGCAAATGTTAAGCAAAAATTTTTGTATATAACAATCTTATATCACGACACGTGCTACATTGAAATAAAACTACATTAATGTTGTTACATTAGTAATATGTTATATATGTAACGGAAAAATTTACAATCTTATATAATGTATGACACTCGTCACACTTAGCCTAAATGAACATGAATTCGGAACACAAATTTAAAAAACTTAATTATCATCTCAAATGAAATAAGACTACCACTTTTCACATAAAAAACGTTAGAAAAAAGTCTTGACTGTTGTCTATGTATTTAATTAAATGAAATGAATCATTTATTTACAATATCATATGTAATTTGTTACGTAAAACACGTTGCATACAGGATATGTATAATTAATTAGAAGTATTAATTACTACTAAGACGATCCATCATAATATTAAACGGAACGTCAGCCTCGCCTCTATACTTTGTGTATTTAATTTTCTAAATTAGAATCTATTTGTTAACAAGTACTCCTAGTAATTGATGCTTATTGATCGGTCGACTCTCGTTTATGGAAGCTTATCAAAGAGAATTTAATTGATGAAAATTTGTTTGTAAATTCTCTACTTTACGTAAACAAGGTTTATCTCACATTACTCATTGTATATGAATTTAATAAACATATTTGCTCTCATGTATTTTTTATATTAATATGATTATACTTTAATTTAATTCAAACTAGCTATTCATTTCTTCTTAATTAACATAATGGTATTGTGTGGTTATAAAATAATTAAAAGCGCATAATATCCGAAGTACTTAGTTTCATATCAATGAGTACACGTGAAAATCTTAGAATTCATTAAAAGAACAGTTCTGCTTATATCTTCTTGCTACCGAATTAATGTTTAAGACAAACAACGTCACAAAGAAATATGTTACTTTCATTTTGCAATCGTGATATGGCTTGTTGACTTATATTAACAAAGGAATGTTCAGTTCACCTAGTTTGAATTGTTTCAATGCTTGTACAAATATTGATGTCATATATTATAATATCACGGTTAAGGCTTTGTTGTTGCATAAAATATAATACGACCCACTTTTTGTCATTGTCATAAATTTCATGAAAATGTTAACACATTGCAAATGCATACAACCGATAAGGAGTATCACAGAATGACTCAAAATAATTATTATTAATGATACATAATTAAGTTCATCACATTATCTTTTCATAATGAAGGAATTCTATGGCTTAATTTTTAAATTAGGGACTTATATTCCCAAACGCAATATCTAAGTTTGTTTTAGTATTTTTTTTAGGTGCAGAGATATTAATTATTATGAATATTTCAATCGCTCAACAACAAATTATATCGTGAATAAAACTGAAAAACAATAGGTTTTAGAAAAAAAATGGCGGCCTTTACTCGTAATCATGTCTTTAATGTTAAATCATAAAAATTTAATGAGTCATAGCCTTTAGTAATTAAACTTTGATAAATAGAATCAACAATCCATACAAAGTTCATTATAATAATAGATTCGTTAGCAAATAAGATTTCCTGGATTGTTGTCATGGAGAAATTATAATGATAAATGATTCCGATATTCTATCTATCGGATATGGATACACGAAGTACTTATTCAAGCGCGTAGTACATTAACGTAATTATGATAAGAATACAATATATATTAATTCATATGTCTATTTTTGGTATTCTATTTGTATTAATGTATTTCGTTTAACATTTTACTGACAGTTAAAAGGAATATATTTAACAGATTTCACGTAGTTCCCAAACAAAGTCTTGTATTGCAAGTGTTGAAACACTTTAAAATTTCAATACTTTGATGAGAAGCCGTTTGTGTTTAAGTTCGTGTAAATAAATAAATGAGACAGTAGTTCTGTAATGACAGGAGGTCTGTACTCTACGATACAATTGACCTCAATTCTAAACTTGGAAGGACCATTTATTATGGATCTCTAACAACAGTTGCATGACGTACATTCATTATATTGACGACGTTTCTACCCCCGTCATAACATGAATATATAGACAAAATTGACGATCATATATTTATAATATTTTTCAATTTCCTGAAATCTATAAAGGAATGAAAAGGTTGAGAGTTATAAAGACTGTAATATTTTTCTTTAAACAAGATAAAATATGTAGGCTTCAGTTTATAATTTAAATAAATTAAAGTAATAAGCTGTTAAAATGAAATAAGAAAGAAATCGCTTAAACGTTAGTGAGTTTAAAGGTATAACCTTGTATTCTTTTAACAAAATTAGTATTGTTTTTACTGATGCTGTAAATATAATGTTTTCTTTAATATTTAAAAAAATATAAAAATTTGACGGCTGTAAAGACCACATGTAATCTCAGTTACGATTAAAATATTAACAATAAGTTTCTTTATGTAATAAAAATATAATAATGCATTTGTTTACGTAGATAATGTAAATGTACAATTTGCATACAAAATAACATCGGAATATTTTACTCTTATTTAGTAAATGGATGAAGGTCCAATGTCGTTGAGTGCGCTACGTAAGTCACGTACGCCCTCAGACACTATGAAGGCGGCGCCCGCCTTACAATAACATTTATACTGGGATCTGATATATATTAACTGACTCTCAGCAGGAATTTAATTTAACCGATGTTATAAATATAATTGTTAATTATAGATTATCTAGTACATGTGTGGGATGGTTACATTTAACAGATTATTCTCGCTCGTATTATTTGTCAGTATAGCGAAAGTAAAACGCTTATGTTCTCGGAAGCTTGCCTTTATTACTATCTTTATGTCTCTCACTCGTTTCGTATATAAAGTTATATTCTTTATTTAAAAGTAAATATAAATAAAATACATTTTAACCGTTCCGTCTATAGGTACAAAAAATCCCTCTCCTTTTGCTCATTATAATAATTTATTTCAGCTTAAATATTCATCCAACTGTTTTATGTTTAACATAATATGAAAGTAAAAAGAATCTATAAAATTGGAAATAAAATTAAGATGAGAGAAAATTCCCCTCATCACTGGAATTATGACGTTGCTAAATGTATACACAATACATTCTCGCTATAGTCATTTTCTGAGAATCCATTCGAGCCTTGTCTCGCTTCATAAAATTCCGAGATATGATTTTAAGATAATTCCTAACCAAGCTTTGTGGAAGATCGAACGGTCACGTCTACAGGAAAATCAGTTTGATATTAAAATGTCAATAAAAAAAGTATACTCCCAGACTTTTTACAGTAACTATTAGACATCATTATGAGTAATGGCGAGGGTCAATGATTCATATTTTATTTAAATAATGACTAAATTATTTTATAAAGAATACAAAAACTTGTGACGTCTTTACTGACGTTGGAGCCAAAAACTTGTGACGTCATTATGATTAATATTTCATAAGAAATCAATAGCTGACGGTCGGAGTTTTGATGTCCGTCAGACCTTTGTTCTGGATTCCTTTAATACGTTACGTAAGAGGATATTTGGTAATATCTAACTGGAATCAATATCTAATCGTATATATGCATGTATATAATAATAAATTTCTCATTCAAGCTCCAAGGTGAGAATGATCGCAAACCATTTATTAGAAAGAGATTTGTTGTGTATCTCTGTAACCCGACTTGCAATAATAAACGTGAATATTACATTCGTATTTTTGTCAATGTTTATCATAATTTCGTTTAATAAATAAATATAATATTCTATTGATTTGCTACTGAAAATAATCTTTAAATCTATAAAAGCAATAATCTTATTTATCTAATGTTTTCGTGAACATATTTAAATGATAACAGAAAATGTATTCCTGATATATACGGCAAAGTAAATTCAATATGTATCGATATTTAAATATCATTAATGTATTTAATTTCCATGGGATATATTTAGTATGCCTAAACCAATACAGACCCAATTATGAAAATGAAGGATAAGGGACGCTTTCGATATGGGATATAAATGGGATCGTTTACATTTTTGACGTTGAAATTACATTAGCCGATGGAAATTATTGAATATTTATACCAAATGTGTCGTATAAATATTGTTTTATTAAATATTGGATGTTACTAACAGCTGACATAATATTCGTGTATGTTATAATAGTATTACAAGTTGTTATGTAGGGTTGCTTGAATGACCTGGTTAGATGGTGACGTGAACATTGGCCTTCCACCAACCGCTGCCCGTCACAAGCGCGAAGGTTGCCACAATTTCCTAGCAGCAATTGGCTTTTATTACACACAGGCGATTTCTTAGTCTCAAATAGATTCGATTCTTTTATTGTCTCAAGAATCACCCGATGTAATGTCGTTCACTTTCAACACAGCTAAATGCTCGCTAAATGTCAAACAGGTATTTACGTAAAGAGGTTTTTTTTATAGTAATTCTCGATAACTTTGCACACTTAAATGCATATATTGTAAATATAGAAGTATGTTTAAAAATATCCCAAAAACTACTTTTTGTATACGTATGCGTCTACGTCATGAGTGTTGAGTTAGATATAAGATGTGATAAGTTGAAATTCGCGAGGCCATTATCATCTCGTATTACTATCAAGGTTTTTTATTCAGGAAACATATTAACAATAAAGTATGTGACGTACAACAACGTCAAGCGGCTACAGTTACGTATGGAGAAGTGATTTAGGTTCAATGAAATGTTTGTTTTACCATTATATTTAAAGCTCTAGTTTTTTATGAACGAATTATTATATATCGGTGTTGTTTCCTACCTCATTCTTAAACTTTAATCTTTTTATATTGTATCGTAATACACTAAAAAGATTCAAAACGGAATTCTTTGTTTCTACTGCAATGCAGCAAGTAATAACATCCATACTGAGTAATAAGATTGTTTCTAAAATTATTTTGTACATTCCTTGTTTGCAAAAGTACGTTTTTATTAGAAAAATAAAATTCACGTTTGTAATGAAATTTTTAAAATAATATTGTAAAATAAAATATGGAATCAATAAATATAAACATTAATGTAGAATGTTCTGAATATCTGGACGTTACGCAATAGTTATTTAATTAAATTATAAAGCTGGTTTCAACATTCCAGTCCATATGTATGTAAGAACTGGTTAAATATAAACAAAATACAATTAAATATATTTATAATTAATAAGATAATTGATTATAATAATTGTGTGAAATGTCAATCAACAAAATGTATATAAATTACAAAATTTATATCGAGCAACGAAAGTTCAAAAATACATCATAATTAGAACACTCTCACCGCAGCCCCAGATCAGTTGTTAATGAATCCGATGATGTGTATAAAGCATGTTAAAAGATACAGTAATAACTCAAAAGCGTTTCAAATTGAAGAGTAAATAATTGTTGGCGTTTACAGTTTCAAATAAAAATGTAGGTCACGGCTGCCGGTCTGTTCTGATACTCGATCGTAAACAGCACACGTTCACCATAAAACTATCTTAGACACTATCTTATCTTTATTATAATAACCTAATCATCAATATTTTATCTTAAATGTGATATCACCCAGCCCATAGTAACGGGAATCCGCGTGCCTAATCACGCTTAACATTTTATCCAAGTATGTATATAACATCATATTTCTTAGAAATGGTTATATGATCATTATAATATTTAATATTTTTAGAGAAAATATCATGACTCAGAAAACAGATTTCTAGAGGATTAAATAACAGACGAAAATATGATAATAATGGAAAAAAACGGTTTGTACAATCACATGATCATAATATATTTTTATAGCGCCATGTAGGCTTAGGCTAAGCGCATCTATTAGGTTGTAATTACTAATTATATTACTGCTTGGTTTTCTTCTGTATTTTTCCATTTGTTAAATGAAATTAAAATTTATATTCTCATTGTTTTTATCGTTATATCCAAGAACTGCGAACAAACGGAAGCTATTGCCAAATATATAAATAACCAAAGAAAACAGCTCTTCGTAGAAATATGTATGATTTCTTTCTACGTCGACTTTCAACTTCGCATATAGATTTATTTTTCCTAAGCGCCACTTTGATCATGTTTCTACGAATAACCTTTACGTTAATTATTATCAATGATGAGGATAAATTCAATTGAACTTTAAAAATAATTTTTAGACATTGATTGATAAAAAATATATAAAATATAAATGTTATATGACTTCGGTAAGACCTTATTTATTTTTATAATGAATAGAAATATATATAAAAAGATACTAATGATTAATTGAATAAAAATGTATTTAAAATGTTGCATCGAGTCGTACGCGCGGAGACTCACGTAGTATGGTACCAAATAAGTGTAATAAATAAATAAGTTTGCCCCCACTATCAGCTGTAACTATTGTAAAAGATTGCTACACATAATACGTCATACGACTGGACCGGTTTCTGGTGACTCATTAAATGATATAAAACATAAATACATCAATAATGTTACGAAAGTCGATGCTCTGCTTCCTTGTTGTCATTAACTTTTATGTAACTCCATCAGGCGAGTTTGTCGTTTTAAAAGCTTTGAATAATCAGGGGCGGTAAGTGAAATTTACATTTTGGGACTCGTTGAAAAAGTTACTTTAAATCAAAAAAACGAAATGAACAGATTATTTATACCATTGTACCGAGAGATAAAGCTTAAATAGGTTAATTAAAATTTATCTAATATTAAAACAAGTTTAATATTACCCTATATACATATAAAATATTACTGTACATCCGTGTATTGTAACTGTAGCTTATTTTGAATACAATATTCATTTCTTAATTTAGGTTGAGAACAATATGTTTTACCTACTTAACCATATTTTAATAATTTGCACATAACTGTTACAAACTTTTCAAAACCTTTTTCCAGTTATTCTAGTAAATGAAAGTTTCCATTTATTCGTGACAGGCTTTATGTACTATTCATGTTGGAAATAGATTTTACCCATACAAAAAAGTGAGTGGTTTCAACAGTGGACAGTATTTTTAAACCTTTTCTTTGTTAGAAATCTAAAAATATCGAACAACTATTTTCTTTAAAATTTATAGACTTAGCCTTGGGAATAAGCAAAAAAATTCGCAAGAGATCAACAAAAAACTTAATGAAAATGACTCTACACTTTTTTTGCTTTTAAACCGAATCGAAGATAAAAATACTTAACTATTCGTTACTTATCAATTAATAAACAAGAATGTTATAAAATATTATAAATTTTATAATATTCATATAAAAAATGAAAATGTTTTATTTGTTCTCATAAATAATGTACAGAGATATTTTACGAATAATGTTTTTTTTTTTACAAATATTCAACATTACAATAATCCAATTGAAGAATGATACGTATTTGTTTCTACTTAATTTTACCGAATGTATCATTGACCTCAATATTTGAATTTAGTTATCGGTGCGCAATCGATAAAAGACCCGCAAGATTGGTATCGCACCGGCACATTCGGCCTCCGGGCTTACTTCCTATCCTTGATGTCAACAGGGATAGTCTAAAGTGTGTCAAACATAATTGAATGTTACAGGATAAACCGGTGATGAGCCTCTTAATATACTCTTACTCAATTTCCGCTGTAACACATCACTAGAGCATGTAATTTGGTGACACGATAGGACTTCAATCAATACATGAGTATCATATCCGATCAAATATTAGTGGAATTTGTTAAATTTATTCGCAATCATTAATCATATATTTTATTCATCGAAATACTTGTAAATTTTATTGAATAATACGGAATTTCAATTGAGACATACATTTTCTTATTAGATAAAGACGTGATCCGTTCCCATTATTACGTAAAATTATTATTTAAGTTGTTGTGTCATACTTATAAAATTATACTTATAATGCAACATTTTTATATTATATTTTACTTTAATTGGATCGTTATTGAAATTACTTCTTATTGTTTCTGGTAGCAAGCGATATAAATTATCGCAATAAAAGCAATTGTGCATTCTCAATTTTCTTTAACGAAACAAACTCGCCTTTAACTAGATTTAACCGAGTTGAAGTAGTCCGAGTTGAACAGAAGCCTATTGTTGGCGGTTGTAACCTAATAAATCCAATAAGTAAACGATCGTACAGTATAAGAGGTAAATAGTAAATTGATTAGTGACATCAAAGTCTATGAACAATACAATATCGTAGAGAAGAAAGCTTAGTTGTCGGGAATTCGGGATGAAACTGATATCATAATCCTGAGAAACAATTATTTTGGTACGCAAGCATCGATGACGGATGAAAACTAATACTAACACAGTACTAAGTGTAAGGCACAGCGTATGAATGCCGCAGTAGACCGATTGTGCTCGTAATTGACGGACGTCTCACTGTGAACGTTGAATTATATCTAAGCGCGTCATATTATCAGCGTTGTGTAGTTGTACATTGTATTTGATATCGAGTTGTTTCTACTAATTGACTATATGTGTTGTGAAATGCGAGTGTGCACGGAGAGAGAGTGCGTCCGCTGTGCGCCAGGACGGTGGCTGAAGCGGCGGGTAGCTAGGATCGCACATTCAATAGAAATGTTGCAATTCCAGTTCAAACGGATGCTGAATAAGGAGCTGAGCCACTTCTCGGAGTCCAGCAAATCCGGAAACCAGATCTCGGAGTACATCTGCTCTACTTTCTTGGGTATGTTTTTCTTTATGTACATATATATATTTTTATGTACCTTTTATTTTTAAAAGGTAATACTCTACAAATATGTAGATCATAGGACTCGGTTACTTTATATGTAGACATTTATTATTATACACAATATTTTTACATCTGGAAGATCTATTCAGCCATGAATTTATATCTAGCCTCTTTAGGAAACCATAACCTTTTGTGTGTATTTCAATGTGTCTGACATTGATCATAATACAAAAGTTTCCTTATAAAGTGATAATGAATATGTTATATTTGTCTTTACACAACATTGAAACTATTTTATTTTTAGTTTACTAAAGAAAATAATTTAATTTTATTATATAACATTATAACATTGAGTATACTACTAAACCATTTCAATTAAAAAAACCATTACAAAACTTTAGTTATATGGTATCATGAAATAACTTACAACATACAGGAAAAAACTTTTATTTTATTGAATTATTATTTTCATTTAATTACACATTCTTTTTCACAATGTACTGTTATTTAAAATTCTTCAGTGGCTATAAAATAAGGCCAAGTACGAATAGGTTGTCCTTCACATAAAGTAACTTACACCCTTCGACTAGCCTTGTCCTACAATTGGTTAATTATTATTAATTCTTTCGACATTAGCTATTAGTAGCAATAGGTACAAATAGATTTGAATGAACTTTCTTACAAAAATAAATAATTTACATAATGTATGGCTAGATTATATAACTCTTTCAAACAGTCTCTTTCCCTTAAAAAAAGTTTATAATTGAACGTTTTACGAGCAATACAACACGAAAACAATAAAAAATTTAGTGTTATCTTAAAAAAAGGTTATAAACATCGCGTTCAAATACGAGTTGTTTTGCAATGAAAAGCTACTAGCATTCCTTGAGAATACTTATGTGTATTAATAGGTGGCGTGACATTAAGACACTATAAATAGCTGAGAATTAAAATTAGACGAATCTAATTCTATGATATATTGAGGCCACACTAGCACACGGAGGTTGGCTTGAGGGGTCTTTAATTAATTTGTTTGTCTTCTGGCCTCCACTGTCCGTCTTATACGATTTAAAATTATTTCAAATTTGTCATTTTATATAGAAAAAAATTTATAACACGATTTCAGTTCTGGTTCTATTTTTAGAATTTTATAGCAATATATAAAACTTTTAAATCCTCTTATCTATTGAGAACGGTTACCAGATTAATATAGAGATTTACGATACATTAAATCGTTTTTATTATTATTATTTTTCTACTGCGTCGCTGCATGGATATTTTGATTAGATATAACATGGCTGCGTAGTAAACAGTCCCTATAAACAACGATAGCAATTCTTATAAGCTTTAATTGTACGATGTTCAACGCAGAATACCACAATTATTTGATTTTCAACTCTGTGTATGTGTCTACAAAATTGATAAATTATTTTATACAAGGCACAACTCTTTTTATCATCATATTTTTAAGAGATAGTAGCGATCTAGAAAAATAATATAATTAAATCTGTATTAGGTGCTTCAGTCCGACACCCACTTTCTTTCGACATCGATACCTATTGACACAATTTTGGTATAAGATAATAAATAAATATGTTCATGTTTTTCGCACATAAGTAGCAAATGATAATATAGGTCAATAAAGTTACTACTAAACCGTCTGCCGACTTTTGTTATCAAGCACGCTTTTTTGTTATTCATATGATAAATTTCGTTATCTAAACTTGTATAATTAATAAAATTATCTCAACTATTCCAACATTTAAAGTAAACTTAAGTTGAACATTTTTAAAGATATATGACAATTATTTTGTTGCATTCATTTCAGATAAACAACAAGAACTCGATATACCATCGCTGCATGTCGAAGAGAACACTGAACGTATTAAGAAAAAGGAAAAGCCACGCCATGGCGGATCTGCAACTACTATGTCACAAGTATGTTTATATTATGTATTATTAACAAAGTTTTGTTTTGTATGCCTAAACAGAAATAGAACTTCAATTTTTTAAGTAACATATTGTTAATACATATGTTTTGTCTTTGCAGATATCTGGTGTCAAAAGAACACTAACACACACTAACAGTTTTACTGGCGAACGTGTACCAAGGTATGGAGTTGAAACTCCACATGAAGAAGAGTTGGGTCGGCAATTGGGTGAACTCGATCGCTGGGGTGTTGACATTTTCCGCATTGGGGATTTATCTTGCGGCCGCCCTCTCACAGCTGTGGCCTATGCAGCCTTCACGTCACGGGAATTATTGTCAACCCTTCAAATCCCAGCACGCACTTTCCTTGCCTTCGCAGTAACACTTGAGGAACATTACATTCGTGACAATCCGTTCCACAACTCACTCCACGCAGCTGATGTCACACAATCAACACACGTCCTGCTTAACACACCAGCTCTTGATGCAGTATTTACACCCCTTGAAGTCTGCGCTGCATTGTTTGCTGCTTGTGTTCACGATGTTGACCACCCCGGCCTGACGAATCAATTCCTCGTTAACTCCAGCTCTGAACTGGCTCTTATGTACAATGATGAGTCTGTACTTGAAAACCATCATCTTGCTGTGGCCTTCAAACTTCTTCAGAATGATGGTTGCGATATTTTTGTAAATCTTCATAAGAAACAAAGGCAGACACTCAGGAAAATGGTGATCGATATGGTCCTTTCAACAGACATGTCAAAGCACATGAGCCTACTTGCAGATCTTAAAACCATGGTAGAAACAAAGAAAGTCGCCGGTAGTGGAGTGTTACTGCTTGATAATTACACAGACCGTATTCAAGTATTAGAGAATCTCGTACACTGTGCTGATCTTAGCAATCCTACGAAGCCTTTGCCTCTGTATAAGCGATGGGTGGCATTACTTATGGAAGAGTTCTTCCAACAAGGTGATCGTGAACGAGAGCAAGGAATGGACATCAGCCCGATGTGTGATCGTCACAATGCAACGATTGAGAAATCTCAAGTCGGATTCATTGACTACATCGTTCATCCTTTGTGGGAGACTTGGGCTGATCTCGTCCACCCAGATGCACAGGACATTTTAGATACATTGGAAGAGAACCGAGACTACTATCAGAGTATGATACCTCCATCACCGCCTCCAGCACCTGTTTCACACTCAGGAACCGACGACGAGCGCCCTGAACAAATACGCTTTCAAGTAAGTTTACAACAAAATCTATTATGTCCTCAATATTCTACAATATATATCCTAAGTGACAAAATTTCTCTTCCTCGCCAAAAACAACAGTGATTTTTGTAAACATCACTAACTAAAATTGTACTTTCAGGTAACTCTCGAAGAGGGCGAAGGTTCAGAGGACTGCGAAGGTGAAGGGGATGGTGGGATGTGACGGAAACTATTGGGAATCTACAAGAAACTGACCGAGAAGATGCAGGTGTGGTGGAAGCTCTGGCAGTAGGGCGCGTCCTCCGCCGGCCGGGCGGTGGACCCTTGTTGGATAATACTTGTTGACGCTTACCCGCGAAATGATACGATACGCAATCGTAACATTTCTATCATAATTATATGTATTATGTAATTACGCGATGTTGTCTAGAGTTACCTATCGACTAATTGTCCCTCCAATGACTGTATAACATTCGACTCTGTAGTGTGTTTGTATTTTTATTTTTCTTTCTAACCAAAGATTCGGAGGTCAACTCTTTGCGTTCGTACGATCCCTGTGAGTAGTTTGTCTTCTAATGTTAAATCGTATAAGTAGTTTTAGACGTCGACCTCGTATTTACTGGGTCGACTATGTAAGGACATTGAAAACGCTTATTAATTGGTATGAAAGGGTAATTTATATTGTCATATCATCCACGTTTCTCATATATAATACGGGTTTGCGAAAATGATGTTAATCACCAAAATATGTTAACATAATAGGTATTCCTAAATGTAAACCAATTTTGTAGGGTAAAAATTTTTAAATGCCTTTCGGAGTTGTTGTTTTGTCTCGTTTATTAGTATTTTGTATTCAGTCAGTCTCTTCGCGAGAAGATACAGAACTGAATAAATCCTATTAAATAGCTTTACTCGTTTTGGTTACCTATGCACCTCAATCGTATAAAGGATCGCTGGCGATTCCCTATTTTTTTTCTTATTAGATTAATTATTTATATTAAATACAAACTTAATCATAGTTTGTTCATTCAAAACTTAAGTCATAAATCTCTAAGGATAAATAATTGTATGCAACTAACGGCTTGAAGTCTTGAAATGTTTAATGATAATAATTACTAACAATGGAGTGGTTTACTTCTAAGTTTTCTCTACCTATAAGTAGATGTTTACCGAAACAGTTTAAGTGCGAAGTAATTGCACCAGGGCCGGGTCTTGCAATAGTAAATCTTTAAGTATATAGATTCCCAAAAATTTTGCGCACAACATTCACGCCATACATTTCAATGTCGCCAACGTCATTGCACTCCTCTGGAAATAACCGCTGATCTGACTCCACGCGGTTTTCTTTGATGAGTAAATCTCATATCAATCTAGTAATCATTTTACAACAACCATTTCACATTGTTTTGGTATGATAAAGATAATGTAGTTTTATTTATCTGTATTATGTTTGCATTTCATCGACGTCAATATGTTACTATTATAAATATTTGTGAGCTGGTCTCTATACTTTTATGTACTCAAAAGATATTCGTTAAACTGATGTAATGATTTATTTTTATTTTTGTTCGCTTTTATAATTCTGTCATTGTACCTCCAACAAAAGTATTATTTTGCAACTATTAATGTTATGCTCCATCATTAAACTGTGTCAAGAATGAAGGTCCAATGTACATTATTTTCTTAGGTAAATTAAGATTCTATTCAGCTAACATATTTACAAAACGTCTGATTTTAAACGCATAGATACCTATGATAGTATATGATACGTCGTATGAGGACAAAAAAATATATATAATAAAAACGCTTAAATACATTTGTGTGTAATAGAAACATTACGCTTAGAACATTTGTGTTATAATAAATATAATATTTAAATTATCTTGAATAATGTTTGTACTTGTAGATCTGTGTGATGAACGCGCGATGTAAATGCGCGTCATACTGTATTGGTAGTTCGCATGAGGACAGATTGTATATCCGGATGGCGACACACCGATAATAAATCGATAATTTACATCTATAAAATGTGTAACTAGTTATAATATGCTCGTTGTGTAATATTAATTTCTATATAAATGGATGTACCTTCCTATATAAATATTTGAATGGGTACTTTGAATAAAACCCTGTATACATTGCGTTCTATGCGATATATGTCGCCTTTTTTACTCACGTACTACCTATAAGTTATATCACATTAGCTAACTACCAAAGAACAATGTAACGTACCTAATTTCATTATATTGTGTATATGTGCATCTGGCATGTCACTTTTTTCAAATTTGTTGTTTAGAATTACCTGATAAGTATTTCGCAGAGCGGTTTCAGTGTTATATAATTGTTTGTCAGTATGGAACTAACACTAAGATTGATAAACATAGTTAAATTATAAATACCGATTTAAGTGTGCAATGCTGGACATTTGCATTACTTACTATTTATGTTTAAAACAAAATAGCTTGTAATAGTTTAAATATTTGAGTTGAAGAATATTAATGTATTTAGAATAAAAAATAATTAAAGAAAATAACAGTGTTTGTTTTTTTGTTTTTACATATTAAGTTGCTTATATTCATCTCTATCATGATGGGATACTATTGAATATATTAAAATACATCCTTACCTGCGATCCCTAAATATAACCCGTTCCAGTTTATACCTATGTCAGAAAAAAATACTTCATCTAAGGATATCTAGAATGTCTGATATGATATTGCGTGAAATATGAGATGAACAGAACCAATACAACTAGGTCAATACGAAAAGGGTCCATGGTTACTGATTACGTCGAAAGTGCTGTTTCTGTTTGGGGTAAGTCGCAGTTAGCACTTTTTTCTGAGAGATAAACTTTTACAGTAAGCTCCCTTTTCCATCTCAAATTTAATTTTTCCCTCTGCATATTATACGCATTCTAAATAAATTTGTTAAAATGACGCCTTTCGATTGCTTTCACTGGTGAAACGTAACCTAATTCGTACTTAAGGTGACGTAAAAATAAGTCAATACATAAATTTATTTCTTTAGGACCATCAGTAATAATTTTAATTTAAAAAATAAGTAATCGTAATTGTAACCGCATTATTCATCAGCCTATCAACGCCCACTGCTGAGCATAGCCTCTTCTCACATGGAGAAGGTTTTTTGAGCATTAATCACCACGCTTGCTCAAGACGGGTTGGTGATTTCAAACTTATAATTGTGAAACTATAAGTCCAGGTTTCCTCACGATGTTTTTCCTTCACCGTATGTCAGTGGTGTCTAAAAACTCTCAGAAAGTACATATGACTCCGAAAAATCACATTGGTACTTGCCAGGTTTGAAACGCATTATTAAAAGAGATCATTTCATATTCAAAAAACCTCCCCACCAGCGGCAAAGAGCCATCAGATCACCACAGATATGGCCCTAGAGCCGATATCAAGCCGGTACGGGGGTGCAAGGACTATAATGTACAGCGGCCTGGCTGGGAGAAGGAGAAAATGCGCGAATTTTTAGTCAGGAGTCATTTGATTATTTTTCTCCTTAAAAAAAATAAACAAAGAAACGTAATGTAAGCTTCATCTTCCCATAAAAAAAATCCCAATTCCTCTTATTATCCAATACACCTAATAAAGTACGAAACCTCCCTAATAGTGACAGCCACTTAAGCTAACTAAATGCAATAGTTGAAAAACGCAATGACGAATAATGAAGAACAATCTGAAACTAAACGTAAAACGAAGAGAAAAAGTTAGACTGTCTGGATTAAGAACCAAATTTCGTTCTAGTGATCTGTCCAGGAGTAACGAAAGAAATTTATAATAGGACTCTTCTTCGGTTATATGATATCCAATAAATGAAATACATTTTGCCCCACGAAATGAAAATACCGAAGCTATTTAATCACTAATATTTATATTTAACACAATAAAATTATGAAAATAAAAGATTATAGCACATTTTTATCTTAATTCGATTTAGATGTAAGTATGACTCTTATCAAATGTTAATATGTACTTTGAAAACTCTCCTAAATTAGAATTATTGTATTTAACTTGCTATAACTGTCGCTATTACCGTCTATAAAGTTCTAAAAATGGTATTTTATTACAACACGTCAATCCTCGTTCAAATATTGTTTTAATTTGACCACACGTATTGTTTCTCAGCCCACCAACCACTTTTTCCTTGTTAATCACCAGATCTATATCCATTACATTCATTGATGTAATTTAATAGACCCTTCACAGAAGTGAAAAATAATATATTTTAAAACACAATACAGACTTCTTATTTCCATCTTGTGTGAGAGTTAGTAAAAATATTTTAAAAACGCAACATTTTTAATCTAACCGTATTGTTTTTCTAGAAATAGGGAGAGGTGGGAATAAGGAAAGTGTTGGAAAAGGTGGGGATAGGGAAAGGACAACCGGCTCACTCACTCACCGGACGAAACGCAGCCATTAAAGGCAACTTCGCCCCAGTCGAGCCAGACCATGTTCGAGCTGTAATAACTGACCACAGCTAGGCTCTACCACCTCAATGTGTTGGTTTGTTTAAAACTTGTGACCTTTTTCAGTGAAAACTTAACTGGAGAACAGTGTATTGAATAGTGAACAAAACCGTATAACCAACGTCTTTCCCCTTTTACTACCAAACTAACAACCTCTAGACGATGATTCGTCAAAACAATGTAATACTAAAGACATGTGTAATAAATAAATTAAAACTATCTCGTTTATTTTATTAGTACTTTTTTTTGAGTGTTTAATTTTGTTTACCATATAAGTTGGTAACTATAACTCTTTACCATACCTTGTTTGGCTGAATGCCCTCTTGCGGTTTTTATACCGCATTTATCATGTGCCTTACCTGACAATAACACATTTAGAAATGATAGGGAAGCAAGTCCGACAGAAATACGGCTACAGCTGTGGGCTGACGTGAGGGAAGAGCTGTCGGCCTACTGCTGCCGTATGCTCGAGGGAAACTAGTTTATCCTCCTATTAGAAGTTATCACTTCAAAAGACACGCTAGCACTGTTCGTGGAAGGCAAGAAACTATGATGCACTCACAAAGTCTACCTTAAAACCTTAAAACCAATGGTCATTTAACCTAATGCAAAAGAAAATAATATTCGAGCCCATCAGTCTCACATCTTTAAAATCACCCGTTCAATAATAAATAAAGCTCAATGCTACTTAACTCTATTGTTACGACAGGACTATCTGGTATTCATTCTTCATGTCCTACATTATAAAAACAATGTTATGTATTAAATATGTTAGATATATCAAAAAATGTAAATAAGTACAAAAATTTTATATAATAGAAATAAAAATAAACGCCTTCATTGTCATTTTGATATTATTCTTGCATACATGAGACACTTAATCGAGTAAACGTACTCTAAACTGCAAATCCACACGATCTAATTTATAACACCCCTCGTTTTGCATCGGGTTTCAAAAAATATACATGTGAATTAATTTATTCTAGTTTTATTAAATATAAAATATAGCTTCTGTTGGAAAGTTTGCTATAAACATACAAAAACTTAATATGTATTTTTAGTAAATATATATATTTTTAATACGCATAATATTTAAGTAATATAATGAAAAAATATAAAAATGTGTAAAAAACATTAGACGATAAACACGTTTGTCGGTTGGGTTCGTGGAATTTTGTTGTATTTGATTGATTTTTGTTAACATTTTGGGTGTTTATTTCTTTAGTGTTTTTGGTATAATTTCCAGTTACTGAGCTGTTTTCGAAATTGTAAACGTTACTTTTGTGAATAGTACGCGAATCTGCACTGATTTCCATACCTCCGCTGGCTTGATTGCTGTTTGTCAATATAGATACCAGTTTTAGTCCTATATTATTCGGTTGGGTCTGGTTATTACCGCTTTGTAATTTATAAACTTGATTGCTCTCCTCTGCGTATCCATACCGTACGTTCTTATCAGGAGCACTGTCAAAATTGTTGCCAGAAAGAAAAGTATTTGAACTCCATACGCTCTTCGGTTCTTGGGTGATTGTCTTCTTTTCATTTGGTTGTCCTTGGTAATTGGAATAATCTGATCTGACATAGGACACCCTTTCTTGTCCAGGATCGCCAAATTCCGTTAGTGTTTGGGTACTTGAAGACTGACGACTAGAACCTGATATATAAGTGTTGTTCTCCATCTTTTCAACTGTTCCATATATGTTCATGTCATTTAAATTAGTGTTGAAATGACTATTTCTTTGTACCGTTAAGACTTTAATCACTTCTTCACCCATATTTATTGGTCTCTGATTTTTAGTGTTATCTCTTATTTCATCGGTTCGAACTCCTTGAACAAGATTCAATCAATAAGTTTTTTATGGAAGAAAAGTAAATGAAATTATTTATTCCATACAATAAACCATACTTACTTGGAATATTACTACTAATAGTGAACAAAACTACTACGATAAACCACGACATTGCAGCTACAATGTGTTTCTAATACTAATTCTAATACTGCATCTACTTCGTATGGTTGTATCATTAAATCTAATTTATTTTACTATTAAATAACAGAATTTAATGATTCATTAGCTTAATTGTTTCTTTTTTCCAATAAGACATCTGATTCCATTCCGCTTCTATGACTCATACAAATAAAACTAGTACGTTGACATCACTAAACCCAATCAAAAAAACCAATCAATATTTTGTTTAATTTTTTCTTATCTATTGTCGTCTAAGACCTTTGAGTCAAACGTACATCAATTACAAAGCAAATATTGATAGGTGAAAGGCGAAACTAATTTTTTAAACTTCATGTCCTCTCTAAGATATGTTAGAAATCGTAACCAGGAACAATTTTCATGTCGAAAATTATAAATTACTTCCTAATGTATACTGATTCCCTTCACTATTTTCTATGAAGTGCTAAGCAATAATTATCAGCGGCAGATATTCGAGTTCCATTTTCGGACAATGTGTTTCAAATTTTATACATGTATTTAAAATAAATTATCAAGTAGTCTAGACTTAGCATCACGTGTCTAATGGTAGAAGAAACAGCTTGCAGCAATAGTTGGAGTATCCGAAACAAGCCAGTGCAAGATGGGTTCCAAGAATGCTCACGCCACTTCAAAAGAGCGAGCGTGTCGAGTGTTCTCGCCAGTTTTTGAAGCTCTGTGGAGAGAATAGGACGAAGTTATGGACCGGATTGTTACTGGTGACGAAACCTGGGTTCACTACTGTGATCCTGAATGGAAGCAAGAATCGATGCAGTGGCATAAAAAAGGCACAGCTCCTCCAAAGAAGTTTAAAGTGTCACAATCGGCCGGAAAGATCATGGCGACTGTCTTTTGGGATACACAAGGCATTTTGCTGATCTGGTGAAGAGTTGAAAGTTAAATTAAATAAGCAACTCAAGTGTACTTTAAGGACTAATGTTTGTCATATATAATTCAAATTGCTGTACAATTAATGTGTAAATAAATTATTGTAATAAATATTATTTAAGATTACTTCGACTTGTGCCACTTATATTTTATATCCCTCATGATCTAGACCCAACAAAACGATTCTATTTAGCTATTATTAGTTATTTGTTGAACATAGATACTTAAATTCCATTATGGGTGATTGACATATAAACTTGCATCAACATACACTTTCGTAAAATAAAAGAATAGATTTGATATCAATAATATCCTTTTTCCTAGAATGAACATTATAAGTGTCGTTCACGTGATGAGCATTTTTTTTTAATATCTTCATTCATTAGTTATCGATAGGGGACTATAATATATATCCCGCAGACGACGAACGGGGGTGCGACGAAGGCAATTCCAACGCCTCCAAGAGCACCCCTGTGTTCCGGGCTGGGGTCGGCGTGGTAACCCGGCTTTAATTGCCGGGATGGCCCCCATTCTCCGAGGGAGTAAGTCCGGTCTTTGCCAGGACCGGCCAGTCGCTGGTGTACCCTGTCGCTGACAGATCCGGGGTACACCGACATAGCGGTCGATAGCTTTCGCAGTGGTTTTAGTGAGTAGGGGCCTGCCCAGGCCGAGCCTCACACATCCCTTCCGGCCCCACCAAGGCTGGTTGGACGGCTCGTAAAAAGATTTTCCCTGCTACATCAAAAATAAAACTATAATATATATACATAAATATTTATACATATACTTCCGATATTTATAACCAATGAAAAATAAATAATAATAAAAATATTCTACGATTTCCGAAGTTATGATGTCAATGTATCATTATGTACATTTAGAAACATGATAGCATATTGCACCAAGTTCTTTTTTTAATGTAGTTTCAAATTTTCGATGTCTATAATTGTTTAAAAACGGAAAAAATTAATAATTACTTTAAGGAAGAATTACATGCAGTAAACTAGATTGTTGACGTAGAATGATGTAGTATCTTGAAATTTTCGTTCTATTAATATTACTTGGATTACGATATCGATAATCTAGCAATTAATAACTTGTAAAGATGAATCAGGGTGTTTTCTTTAAGATTAAATAGTTTTTATGTACGAGAGGCTCAAGAATTAAGTTCGAAATGATGTCATATTAATGTTGCCAATGTTGCCTTCAAGCTCGCATTCGAACGACAATTTTAAAAATGCGCTTGACGTTCAGTCAAATGATTGTCATCGCAGTAATGATGATGTCTGTGACATCACACTAACGCGCCGAGCATAGGAGGTCACACTGGTTCGACGAAAATATATGTATATACATGCTAGATAAGAAATAAGTGACCTGACTGATAGTATAGTTTATGGTTCATTCTTTTGTAAAATATTATCGCTTTAATACTACTTAGAGTAGCTACATCAAAAATGAATGCCGTATAGATACTGCCAGCCACCATTTTGTCTATTCAGTTTGGAACCGAGCGTTGAACGATCGGGAAGTCCCAAAAATCTAATCCTCATTGAAAATGGTTGATTATTTTATATACGCAAAAGATTGCTCAGATTCGATGAATAGAACCGAGTATTACTACAGCAACAATTTGAAGACTCTTGAACAATTCAAATATGACGTCGAAAGGATCAAAGAACAATCGGTTGCCCAAGAGCCTGCAAGACAATTTAAAATTCTATATTTGCTCTGGAGCGACGTCTGTCGGGAGGTCAATGAAGATGAGGTTGATCTGAAGAATTATATAAGTTGTGGCGTGTCAGGACTATCAAACATCTATATTTGTGAACGGAGAGATCCAGGATGTCTTATACGGTACCTTCGAAAAAACTATATTACTTGTGAAAATGACCGAATCAAATTACTGCACATCGTCACAAACGGCATGATTAGCCGGAAAACTATAGACGAATGTATAGAATTGAATAAAGGAATAGATTATGAAACGCTTGTTTTCCATGCATTCGAAGAATACCCGGAAAGAATTGACCTTTCAGTAGCTGTACCTTTTTTCAAGAGCCGTTGCAACGTTTATTACAATAATGAACTTTATGACAGCACTGATATTTCCAAGGAGTTTGATTATGACAAAATTAATATTGACAACTTTGCAGTTGAAATGCAACAACTCAAGTCTTATATTAAGTTGAAGTTCATCAATAAATTCAAACAAGACGCTGATGTTTTGCAAGAAATTGAAAAATTGCAAAACTTAAGAACTCGAATGCAGAGAGAGTTATCAGATAATACGCCGAAATGTCCATTTTTTGATCGAATGGAAGAAAAAGAAAGAAAAATATTAATGCGTACATTTGACATGGATAAGTATAAAAGTTATATGTTTATGGCATATTGTATGAGGACTGACGTTGACAAATATGTTGCAGTTATGGTTGACTACATCAAGGATAGAAGTAAATCCTGCTCGTTTGACGTCTTGAAGTTCGGCTCGAAAGTCAGCGAGTCTGTTAAAGAAAATCAGATCTATGATGATGATGATGATTCTACAGATGATGAAGGAATTAAATTAGTCCCGATAGAAGATGAAGAAAGTATTCTTGACGACTTATTTTTTCGACAACAGTTCGACAACGTTTGATTGTTAAATCTTCTAATGCAGATTTACATTAACAAGCATGATGACTGAAATTGAGTATATGCAAATAAATATTATTTTAAATTTAACAAAGTTTTTCTTTAAATTCTTATTCCTAAACCTAACAACAAAATTATGCAGTAAGTTGCTTATCGTAGATACACACAAGTGAATTGCCTGCTCTATACAATCTTTTGAACCTATCCAATCATATCAAAAAAAATTCTCACGCATATATCCTCAAGATAAATTATATATGATAAACATATAACCTCGTATCAACATATATTTTCATAAAAGAATAAAGTAAAGACAATTTCGAGAACTATATTGTTTTCCACAACGATTATTTTCAGAATCTTTATCTTAATAATAATTTTCAAGAAATATCTTTACTTATTCGTTATCAAGGGGGAACAATTTACATATATAAATATATATGTAATACATGTATCAAACTGAAAATGGTTTTCTAGTCAATGAATTTCAAAAGCTGTCCAACCTGTACAAACTCAACTACCTAAAGTTGCATCATAAGGGAATTTTGCGAGATGATATTGTGAAGAAGAAAGTTCATCTGAATGATTATGTCTACTTCATGTTCTTTAAGATTGATTTGGAGGCATCCAAAAGTGGGTCAGGCACGTTTGAAATTAGTGAAAAGACATTCCGTCCGTATTTTGCTATCGACCAAGGCAAATCTTTCCACACAGAATTGATGAAAAATCATCTTCTCACTAATTAATGAGATTGATTGATGCCATATTAACCAAATTTTGTTTACAAGCTCGCATTTTAACAGCAATATTTATATTATTTAGATGAAAAAAGACCAGGCCACACACATGCTCAATAATTCACGACGCTACTGTAAAGATGGCGGCTTTCCAAAGCTGTATAACGAATGACAATTGACTCTCCGAAAACTTATAACCTATAACGAATCTTATTCAATCATTAACGGAATCATAAAGCAAAGTAGGTACTACAGTAACTTATTTATTTGTTTAATTAAGAATATTAGTCACTGAAAAAATCGCCTGATAACATAACCCCAGTTATGCCTACTGATTATATTAATTAGAAACAAATACATTACTCATATTCACTATTCTTTATTTCCTTCTCTATTATGTATATATGGATATTGTGAGCTTTATTGCATAATGACGATATTATTTTGACCATTCTTTTTTTAAAAATAATACCGGCGTACTATAAAAAAACAACTATTCCAATTTTAATATTGATATTCCTAAAAAAACCTTCACATTATAACAACGTTACGGTTCTTTTTCTGATTTCAAAACATCAAAATCTATCTAAATTAGCATAATATTTTCATAAAATATATTTAAATAAAAAAAATATATAAACAGTTATATGTTTATATACATGTAGACTTAAAAAATGTTTTTTAAGTCTTGTAACTTACTACTAAACTAGTCTTGTAACTTATTACTAAAGTACTTGTAAAAAACATTTTTTAAGTCTACATGTTTTAAATCGATTAATAAACCTGCATTTGAAGCAATCGATTATGATTTCTACCGATTGACATGAATGGTGTTTTGGCATCCCTACGTCAGTTTTCGGCGTCGTTTAATACGTTTACTTTGCAGAAAGTTATTAAATATCTTATGTATTAATGTGATTTAGGATAAATTATCACAATGGTCAAACTTACGACTGAACTCATCCAAAGCTCTATGCAGTATATTAATCCATGCAGGGATCGTGAATTAGACTTGAGAGGTTAGTTTTAGAAAAGTAATTTAAACCTTTTTATAATCACATTTTATAAATATAACGGAAATAAATAAAACGGTTTTGATATAAATATGAAATTAATAATGTAAATCCTCTACACAATTGGTCATGTTATATTTATATTTTAAAATTAGTTTACCCTCATCTGTATTTCAGGATACAAGATTCCACAAATAGAGAATTTGGGTGCTACCTTAGATCAGTTCGACACAATTGATTTTTCTGACAATGATATACGAAAGCTTGATGGATTCCCTCTTCTGAAACGACTTAAATGTTTATTCTTCAATAATAATAGGATTGTGTAAGTATTACTTATCATGTATATACACTAACCAATGTAAGGTATGAAATAAGATAGTTTATTTATATAGACTACATTATTCACCACTTCCAGTATTGTTGTGATTGAAATATCATGAAAGTTGAAATGTTCAGACTTACTGATATCAATAAAGTTCGCACAATGAATAACACATACTAGGTACCTTGCCAGATACAGCTACAAGTTAAACTATTAGACGTTCCATACTTATTCCGAGCTCCTCACATAGCACTCAGATAACATCTTATAGCTTTGCTTATTAAATTGGAGAGTATCTTAGATTATACTTTAATTCAATGTCATATGTGAAACTACATGAAAATAGGTATATGTTAGTTCATTGTAATTCTTTCTCATCTATATATATTTTTTAAATACAACAACAAATAGCTAACATTAAATCTGATCACTTTGACATTTTACTTAAAAAAATTTAGTGAGTGAAACTAAATTGTGTGTAACAAACTTACCAACATGTGCTGCAATTAAACTTTAATTCTTTACAGGCGATTGACAGAAAATTTGGAACAATACCTACCTAATTTGGAGACTCTTGTTCTAACTAATAACAATTTATCTGAGTTGGGTGATCTGGATCCTTTATCAACATTACCAAAATTAAGAACATTGTCACTTATGCACAACCCGGTCGCAAATAAACAACATTATAGGTAAGAATTTCAACTTGATTAGGTTTCTTTATATAAATTGACAAATTACTAGCGTCATAAACCAGACAGTTCTTTTAACTCGGCGGGAGGCGCACCCCATATACCAACACTGACGGTGGCTACTGGGTAAAAAATACCACAATAATATTAATGTAAGAACGAAAGAAGAGTTATTTTATGGATAATTAAATATAACCATTTTTTATATTATATTGTGTTACATTTTCAATTAAACAAGACAGTTGGAAACTCATAACGCTTGGTATAATATGTAATATATGAAATTTTTAAAACATAGCCCAAAAGCTCAGCCATTTTGTGCACAAAACGAAATATTTGCTAGTGTGGCTGGAGGGCTCTTTCCTGTTATTTATTCAGAATATTATTATTTTGCTCGCCATTACCACCAAGTAAAAGTATTATTTTACTTTTCATAAATGTATGTAGGCAGGTTTAAGATGGTAGATTTACACTTAATTTGTGGCAATACAAGAGACACAGCCAACACCTTCAAGTAATCTCACGATTTTCTTTATTAGTCGAACATCTGTCGGAAGGTATCTAAAATTACTTACAAAAATTAATATTTTCGAAAGTATGCACTATGTGGTAAATTTTACCCGGTAGCGCCTCCTGCCGTGTTAAACAATCAAAAGAAATTGTGCCCATCTTAAGAGTAAAACGCATTTGTTATTAAAAACACCATTCACATATATTTTCATGTTTGCTACCTTTTTATGTTTTAACAGAGACAAGTCATTCTAATATAATATGAAGTAGTTTCATAGCCCCTTATTTTTACCAAAACCACATGAAATAATGTTTCTTATAAATAACTCCTTTGAAGACTTGACCAGCTATTACTCAACTGTTTACCACCATCATGTACCTATAATTTTATATTTATTTGTTTATTTTGTTTTATTTTATAATGACCTTTATATATGTCAGGTTTTATGCTTTTACTTATATGGTGTCATATTCACAGTACAATGATTTTTTTTTAGGGCATATGTTGCTTACAAATTACCTGAACTAAGGCTGTTAGACTTCAGAAAGATAAAACAAAAAGAAAGAGAGGAAGCAAATGCACTGTTTAAGAGCAAAAAAGGCAAGGAAATACAAAAAGAAATAACAAGAAAAGCAAAAACATTTGTTCCTGGTGGGAATTTGCCAGATCCTAAAATTACAAGTGAGTAGAATATCATATGTCTGATTTTATATATGCAAATAATGACTTTCTTCACCATTTCTTTATTAAGAATAAAAAACATTATGTATCTGAAAATCGTAATTTGTAATTTTCATGTAATCAAATGTTCTCCTTATATACTTATCTGTATATGCATCACAGATCTTGCACCTCAAGAAATACACAAAATTCGTGAGGCTATCAAAAATGCTTCATCATTGCAAGAAGTTGAGCGTTTGACGAGGATGTTACAATCAGGCCAGATACCTGGCCAAAAACCTTTGCAACCACCAAGCCAATCAAATGGACAACGTAAGATAGTGCTATATATATTTTTTTATACCTTACAAGTTACTGCCTAAAATTATTACATTTCGTTCCTTAGCTTACAACTTTACAGGAGACAAAAAAACTGTCTAACTTTAACTATCTGTGTTTTTTTTATTGTTACTTAATATACAGGGTGACTGGTGAATTACTATCGATACTTGAGGACGTGATATTTGACGATCATATATGACAAAATAAAAATTAATATAACATAAATATTAATAAACTTCTAAGTAAAGTTAACCAAAAGTTATGTAAATAATTACGCATCGTGTGAACGAACACCCTACAGATTAGGTATACACACACACACACACAGACGTGTGCGGCGGCGTGGCGTTGTATCAGCACGCCGCCGCACGCGTCCACACTTGGAACACTTGGAACGTGTCCACACTTTATTTATTTATACGGAAATTTGGTCAAAAATTAAGTACCTATTTTTTTTACATAATTCGAATGAGAATCATGTACCGAGTATTCTCCTTAAATATTGATAGTAATTCACCAGTCACCCTGTATATACCAGTTAGCGGTTAAGAAATAATTATTTATACATATTTTGACGATTTCGGTTCGACGCGCAATGCGCAGCTTCATCCAATTGCATTAAAATGTAAAAACCGCCAATTTTCGACTTGAGCAGTTTTGTTAGCTAAGGGACGATTTGCACTTTACCTTAAATATTAAGTTCAATGTATGCATTATTGATACCAGGTTTTTATATTTTCTATGACCCTATGATTTCAGAAGACGAGGTTGAAGAGATGGAGACGGAACAATCTAATGGTCAGTAAAGGTATTAAAGATATTTAGCGAAAAGAACAGTTAAATATGAAGTGTACATTTTTTCCCTTTTTTATTTTATTATTATTTTTAAGCTGGTTAGAACAGTGAAAACTGCACATACATTGCTGTAAAGGCTGATACTACACACTGATAAGCTTTTACATCCAAGAAAGGGTGCAAGCAAGAATCAAATGCCACATTGGCAAATATGAAGACCAAAATAATAAAAACAAAATATTTTTTCACATTTGTTTTATTTTTAACCAATTATATTAATCATTCATGCATATCAAAATTAATTTATTAGAATTTCTCAAACATAATACTTAATAGTTCATCATTGCCAGCGTCTAAACATACTGAATATGTCATTGGTAATAAAATTCTTCGTCCAATCAGTTCTTTAATCGTCGGCCTTTTGTCAGGTAAAATAGATAACATAGAATCTATAAGATCTTGGAGACCTCTGTCATAAATCGTCAAGTCTATGGGATGCACACTGCCACTTGTGATCGCCTTAATTAATCCAACTAAAGTCTGAAAGAAAACCTTATACTATGGAACTATGTCAGAGATAAATGTATTTTATTCATTAATTATTCTTGCCTCAGATTCAAAAGCTCTTTTATGAGTGCACATTTCATATAGCAGACAACCTAAAGCCCATATGTCACTTTTGGTATCATAAGGCTTTCCTTCACACAATTCAGGCGCTAAGTAGTAAGGTGTGCCAATAACCGTAGACGTCTTTTTTGCACTAAAAACATTTTAAATATTAAAAAGTTTTAAAAAACTCCAGATTCAATTTCTTACAAATTATTATGTTGGCTAAAAAGTTTAAAAATCTTAATCAGACCAAAACATTAAATGTTATTTGCAATAGAATTTTTTTTTTATTTGTTACAATATTTAGGGCTGGTCTATGTATATACATTTCTAATTTAAAAAGTCCACCCTCTCACCTAGCTAACATCTTTGATATACCGAAGTCGCCTATCTTAACAATAACTCCTTTTTTTCCAGTCAATAAAATATTTTCTGCTTTCAAATCTCTGTGAATAATATCTAGTTGATGGATATAATTAACTCCTAATAGAACTTGACAAAAGTAAAACAGGATCATCTGAAAGATAATAATTTAAAAATAATGCCTTCGCATTATAACAAAAATTAATACGATAAGAAATTAACTGTCGAGGATATTCTTGAAGATTTCTAAATGTCTAGATTGTTATGTAAGTATTATCGTACTAAACAAAATGAAAAAAAAAAAACAATATACGTGATATCCTGTACATAATATAACACAGTTAAAACAAAAAATTAATAATTCATAAGAACATTACACCACTAATTTTAAAAAGACATTCAAGTGAAATTTACTCAATGAATCTAAGTATTTACTTAAGTGTAGATTATTATGTATTTATAACTAGTTTTTCCCAGTGACTTCGTCTTAACGAACCTCAGAATCGGACTCAAAGAGTAATGTAAAGTATATTAAAAAAATAAATACGTTTACCAATTTTTAGAGACTTCTAGAGCTTGTTACAGAAAACTACAGTTTTTTCATACAGAATATAACTGTTATGTCGTCATTCCACAAGAATTACACTAAATAGAGGGTCAAATTATATCCTACACGTTATTTTGATAAACACTCTAAATTATTATAAACTTTAATCATCATTAGTTTTTACTAATGGTGATTAAAGTTTATAACTTTTTGTGTTAAAGCAACAAACATATTCTATACATAAATCTTCACATTTAGGAGTAATGTAGTCAATTGAATTATAATTTGTGCAATAAGGTGTACCTACAGATATTTCCAACAATTTATGAGGCAGTGTCAGACTTTTTCAAACTTTATTGAAACTTACTCCTATATTTTCGATAATATACAATAACCTTTGCATGAATTAAACTATGCGTCATTCTGATATAAAAGCTATATTATTGTAAAGTTTCATCAAAATCCATTCAGTAACATTTGCGTTGAAGAGTAACAAACATGCTTACATCCTCACAACTTTCGCGTTTATAATATTTGTAAGGAAACTTCTTCTTTATAGCCTCAACTCCCTATTTATTTTATAATTTATAATCCATTTGTCATTTAGGAGTAGATATAAACTTATTAAAAACAAATCTTTACCGTAGCAGAAAGAAAACATATGCTCCTTAAGCAATTTTTTAGATAGAAATGTATTTTGCACCCAAAGCAAGTTCATTATTAGTAATTACGTAGCACGTTCATTAGTTTTAGTATAAGTAGTTAATTGATGAGTTATTAAAAAAAGTAAGCAACATTAGATTTATAATATTTTGCTTACCTGTTGTTTTATTAATTTTGGACACCATTGATACATATATTCGGCTAGATTCCCGCTAGTTGCATACTCCATAGATATCATTACATTGTTATCGATGTAATAACAATAATAAAACTTAATAATATTTGGATGATTCATTTTTGATAGAATTTTCACTTCATTTGCTATGTCCTGAATAGTTAAATGCACTTAAAAAATTATTTTTATTTGTGAATGTTTCATACAAGTTTTGTTATTACCTGCTTGTGATCCTGTAACTTTATATTTAACTCTATATCTTTTACTATTGTTAGCGTATTGTCTTTTTGTTTTTCGCATAAATATACATTTCTGTAAAAAATAAAATATCAATTATTACAAATTATATAATTGATAGTCATCAGTTTCTCCATTAAGAAAAGGCTTGAGAAACACAACGAATATGTAGTCCAATATATTAAGTAATGACTTTAATATAAGCAAATAAATATAATATTCTAAAAATTATTTCTTCTGAAAAAAAAATTCAGTTTTTACGGAACACAATTCGTATGTATAAGTAAGCTACAACTTATCTTCAATATGAAAATATACATACCCATAAGTTCCTTTTCCTATTGTCTTCAATATTTTTAAATTGTGTTTTTTAAATCTTTTTATAAAATCCATATTAATGTCCTTTATAAATATATATCTTTTTTAACAAACTTAATCAAATTCATGCTACGGAGCAAATCAAGAACTACCCTCTAGCTACAGTCCAAAGTATTTATGAAGGTCAACAACTACTGCACTTTATATTTAGAATAAGTTAAATCGGTAACTGCGAAATTTTCTTCATTGTGTGAAGTCTCTAATATAACTAAAACCCTAAATAAATTCGAGGTTAATGTTTATTATTTTGTCTGTAACTCCCAAACGAAATCTGTCAAGTATTCCTTGACATTTAATAATATGTCAAAATTTTACATTATAGAATAGAATATTTCTACACAATAAATACTTTTTTTTGAAAGAACCCATTAAACTATTAAAGTTTTAAGGTTCCAAATCGCAAAAATGGGGAACTTGCTGGGCTCATTTAACGCTCGAAATGTAAATCTTAATATGGACGATAAACCAACTTTTGATCCTCAAGAAGGTTTCTCTTACGAACGAAAACCTCGAGGTATTTCTATTTACACATTTTTATTCTATACATCTTGTTTTATTGCATAAATAGCGAAATAATAATAATTCTTTATTTCTACCTATGTGTTTATGGTTACATAACGAAACCGACATGAGTGTTATGATTTTTCTCTCATTGCTGCCATTATTTTTGATATTTTAGAAATGATCGCCAAAGAGGAGGATCTCATATCAGCCAGAATTCCCCCGAAGTATAGAGATTATTGTGCTCATCACTTACTAGAATACCAGGTTTGCCGTTATAAGAATGTGCCTCTTATGTACAAATGCGCACATGAAAAGCATGCCTACCTGAATTGTGAACATCAAGAGTAAGTTTATGGATGCTAATACCTATCTTATTTAAATATAAAGTATAGCAATAATTATTAGTTTAAAAAATAGTTATTTTTAAAGTGCTTGGTAAATTGTTGAAACACATCTTTTATATTTATAACACTTAAAGTTACAGATTCAGTACTTTTACAGACTTCATTCAATATATTTATTAATTCCACCATGCAGGTCGGACCATTATAATAAATAATATTGTGGTTAACTTCATATAAAACCTTTTTTCTGTGTATAAAAACTGAAAATAAATTGAATTAAACTTTTTTGTTACTTTAGTTTATAATTTTGATGAATCATTTTACCTACTGTATTTTATTTTGTTTCAGTTATGTGATGAGAATGAAAGAATTTGAACGTGAGCGCCGCCTCAGAGTTAGAGAAAACCGATTGATTGGTGTTGCTTAATTATTTCAGAAATCATCATGTAAATAGTGAATAAATAGAAAGTTTGAAATCATGTTTATTTTGCAGTTTTTATTGTTAATTATTTGGACTCAAATAATGATTTTAAATCTACTTCAGGTGTGTCTATTGAATAGATATTATTTATGCTTTAATTGAACAAAATTCACAATAATGTTCCTTTGAAATAATAGCTATTACAATAGATAAACAATAAATATTAAATATATTTGGAACCTGAAAAACTTTTATTTTAAAATGTTAGCTCCCTCACTTTATTTCCATTCCTCTTTTCGAACCTTTTCAAATACTTAATATGACTAGAGATGAAATTTAATTTTAAATGAATCATATTATGTATTACATTTTATCCTTGCATTCATCCCATATTTCAAGAACTTATATTTAGTATAAGAACTAATTATGATAATATTGTTATCATATAAAATCTTGATTACTGCATATTACATAAAAACATTTATACCCAGTTTGTAAATCGTACGTTGTTAAAAATTGTTCAAATGAATGAAAACATTAAGTTACATACTTTTTATTTATTATTGGAAGGTTAAATTTTATATTTATGGCAACTCCACAGACGAGTCTTCATTTAATGTTATGGGTTTTATTGCAAAAATTTATTAAATAGAATTACAAGTTACAAATAATTCCTTTCATTATTAATATAATAAATAAGAAAATTAAATATTTTTGTAGAACAATAAATGCAGACTAAAAATCATCATGACAGTCTTTAAGCAATATCAAAATGTTGCCATTATATTAAATGTGATGTTCAAGTAATTTTTACCTTAACTGAACAGGGCAAAAGGGATGCGATTGGTTTGAGAGAATCACAATAATAACAAAAATCTGCTTGGATATTCTTACAATTTGACATGCAACTTTACACCTTAGGCTTTCTACTGTCTAAGGTTGTTAAGGATTGTAAAATGTCTAACAATTTTTGTAAACACGCTTGTCGAATACACAAATTATATGTATAATAGGCAAATGCTATTTATTGCGGAAGTAATGGCTTCCTAAATTTTAATTGCAGATATTGAATTTATATGCTTTTATAATAACAGTTTTACAAGTAATGTAAAAAAGATAGAATTTTAGGTATAATAACAGTGCTTCCAGTTAATATTTGCGTCATCCGGCTTATTTCTTATCCAGTTACTTACCGCGTCAGTGAAAAGCTACAAAGAAGTATCCTGAAAATGTAAAAAGTATCAAATAAATAAATATTCTTATAATTTTCTGAATGAATAGATCATTGTTCAAACACGGCAAACAGCTAAAATGATCTTGGAATCTTAAAAACCTGGTGAACCTTGAATATGTGCTTTAGCTAATTTAAAGGTTTTATTTATTTTGGATATGGGTGATGCTGGCGGGACAATGTCTGTTAAAGGTAAAGTGAAAGAAAAAGTAGAGGAGGATGAAGATTCCGATGAGGAAGTTTGGAATAGTGAGGAGGAGGATGAAACAATAGCGAGGATTCAGCGCGCACATTTTGCACAGGCTGCAGCGATGAATCCTCGACGGAAGTCGAATGCACGTCCACGGGCAATGAGCCATAAAAGAAAAATGGAAGCTGTTAGAAGTTTTCATGATTTTACAAAGAAATTAAAAAAAGACACAGGTATAAGAATTCGAAGTTTAGTTGGTAACAATATTTTAGAACTAAGTGATTTTTCTAGTGAAGACAATAAAACTGATAGTGATGGTTTATCAGAAGAGGAATTTTCCGTTGATCCATCCGCTGTGCATGATTTAGATGAAGAGAATGAAAGTTACATCGATCCTGAGACTGGAGATGTAGTGGAATCTAAAAGAATACTAGCAGTAAGTAGAAAAGACCTATCTAAACAAAGTGAACCAACAGGGAATGATCCACAGGAGACGCCAAAGACCTTAACTATAAGTGACATAATAAATGAAGGTGATCTTGATTTGTCAAAAAATGTGGAAATAGCTGAGGTCGAAGAAAGTGAGTTATGTACAGATAAAACTGCCGAGGAATTGTTAAATATGACTAAGCAGGAAGAGGGCAGTTCTGATTTTGATCTTGCTGAAAAGCTAAAAGAAATGGAACAGATAAGCATAACCCCAGTTACTAATGATGATGAAGAAGACACTAAGGATAGTGAGGAAAATAAACCAGAAGTAGATGAGGAGGTACAGTATTGCACAAAAAAATTATAATATTAACTACTTATTCATTGCTATTTTAAAAGATATGTATTTCATTCTAAAGACTGTCTTAGAGTTGCCGATGGCCCAATTTAGATATAATACATCTACTTCACTAATATCAAAATTCAAATATAGGTCTTAATAATTTGTATTTACTTTTAATCTCTATTTATTTTCACCAAAACTGATGGAAAAATTTTTCAAATGAGTTTCAAATTTTTAAATTAGTTAAAAAAAATATATCATCTGATGAATTAAGAAAATTTATAACTTCCCCTGACTGTTTAACAAAATTCATTAGCATACTTCTAAAAGTGTGTTTTAATATTGAGAATCAATAATACACCTAATTTATTTATCCTTCAAATATATACTATTATTATATTTTTATTATAAGAGTGTCTATTTACAGAAAAAGTTATTGAACTCTAACACATTAAATGTGAGAAGAAATATAAGGGATGTAATGGATGAAAAGAATCTGGATGCTTCTACACTGGCAGCACAGCGACAAGAGTCGGAAAGATTGGCTCGAGTTCAGGAACAACAGAGAATTATTAGAGAGGTATGGCTTATATTTTTTCTTAAGTAATAAAAGCAAATAGTGATAAAGCAGATTTTTTCCCTTACTTTTTATACATTTTCAACGTATTATAATATTCATTATTTAGTAACTGAGAAAAGTGAATATATTTCTTTCTAAGTTTAAATATGTGTATGGGATAGCAATCCTTAAAAATAAAAATAGAATTAATGTATACTTTGTGACATTGTTACTTAATAACAAAATATACATTCTAATTGATTATTTGGAATGTTTTTCTATTTCAGGTCCAAAGGCAGATAGCTATCAACAGGCAAAACAAAATACATCAAAAGACTCTATCACTCCTTCAAGGTGGATCATCATTGTTGAAAAAGGGATCTGCTCAGAAATTAAAGTAAATATAAGAATTTTTATAATTTTTTAGTTTTTTATAGATGATCATAACACTCACTATTTATATTTGAACCTTGTTTTATGGTTACTAGAAAAATAATATGGTTGTATAGACATATATGTTGATATATATTTAATTTTGTTTTAACTGGTGAACTGTTGTTTAAACTGTTTAGCCTAATTGTCTATAATATAATATTATTTCTATTTTCAGTTTACCAAACACAGTATTAGTAAAATTACCATCAGGAGAAGTTAAAAAGACCACAGTGAAGCAAGGGCAGGTTGATGTCACAAAGATTTCGAAACCTACTACTCCTGGTACCTCTGGAATACCAAAATCGGAGAAAAAAGAGGTATGAGGTTATAATTATGAATATTTTAAAATAGTATTGTATATATTTGATAAACTACCAGACTTTTAATTAAATAACAGATTTCAAATATTATATAAAAAATAGCTTCCCAGTTATTCCTACTAGTTATTATCTCCATAAGGATGTGGTTTTGTGAAAACAAACCAGTTATCAATTTAAATGATTTTGTTATATATTTATAATGTTTATAGTGCTTTACATAGAGCTGTATATTTCTTAAATTTTTATCTAAAGCATATAAGTGGAAGAGCCACAAATATTAATTTATATATTAAGGAAAATTGTCACATTTCGTTATTCTATTTATGTCTCGTTATATTATGATACGCGACATTTCTATTATTTTTGAGAAACCATAATTTCACATAGACAAACAATTTCACGTTGTCTGAAAAATAAAAGAATAAAAACATTTATTTATATGTGTATTTGCATAAAACTAATATTATATACTAATATTCCTTAATATGGATTTGATATTAAAAAAAAATATGTTCATGATTCAGTAATAAGATATAACCATTAAATACATTATATTATAACATATAAAAAAAAATTTCAGGTTGTAGAAATAGTAGATAGCAGTAGCGGTGAAGAATCTTCATCGTCATCATCTGATTCCGATGACTGTATTATGTTATCTGATTCTGAAGTTCCACCCAGTCCTGAGGCAGAAGAAGACCCTGGGAATTCAGGTATATAAAGCTTGGTTAAAGTATTATATTATTAAATAATTTCTGATTTAAACATATAGGTTGGTTGCTATACAATTTTGACCTACTATACATTAGTACATGCTATAAACATAATTTTTATTTATGTCCTCTATGTTTCAGGCCTTCATGTGAATGACGCTTATAATATACCCGATGAACAAGGAAGAGTTCTTATAAACATTGGTCATGCAGAAAATGAAGAAGATATATTTTTAGCGCCACAAATTGCAAGGGTCATTAAACCTCATCAGGTAAATTGAGGACTCTATATAAATTTCATTGTATTAAGTTTAAATAATATACATCTTTGTTTGTATGTCCTAGAATGAAATCTCTCTAAGATAAAAACAAATCTGGAGTTTTTGTATCATCTAAGTTAATAGTTCACCTATTCAGCTTTCTTAGTTAATGCAATTATTTTTGAATATAGTAGTAGTCTTTCAATATTTTAGCTCAAATTCCTATCATATGGTAATGAAATGTAAAATCTTTTACAGATTGGAGGAGTAAGATTTCTATTTGACAACATAATAGAATCAGTGCAACGTTTCTCAACATCAACAGGTTTTGGTTGTATCCTAGCACATTCCATGGGGCTGGGCAAGACTCTGCAGATTGTATGCTTTTGTGATATATTCCTGCGTCACACGAATTCTAAAACAGTTTTATGCATCATGCCAATAAATACACTTCAAAATTGGGTATGTAATTTGATCTGTTTTAATTTTTAAATTTATTTATATGCCTTTAATACCTTCCTTTAATATATCCTGCAAAAGAAACAAAATACATACGCGTATGTATATAAACAATATTTTTTTACGATTAAATGATACTTCTATAAATCTGGCTATGCGACTTTCAAAGTACGCCGTAATATCATTATATGTATAGTTATAATAAAGAAATTATAATAACTACTTTGAGAATGTACATAATATGTGCCTTTTGACTGTGTACTTTTATGGTAAGAGTATTGGGGATTACTCAGACAAATATACAAGTCTATGGCTAACATTTACATATGTATTATGTTTAAGGATTTCGAAATAATAAAATAAAATACATAAACAATAGAATAATATAAAGCTCTTGTAATGAATCGAATTATATTATCAAAATTAAGACTGATGAATATTTTATCAAGTTTCCTTATAAAATAGTCATTTTGTTGTTGCTTTAATTTTGTGATACATAAAATATAGATATTTTTATTTATCTTATTTTATCATTTTTAATTAATATTTCTGCAATGTTTGTATAGTTATCACTTAAATTTTCCACAATCGTGTCTTGTTGTAGTGCATCTAACATCTATTTATACAAAAAATGCTGTATTTAATATAATATAGTTGGCATTATAATTTTAAAAGTAATATTAATGTATGAAAATGATTATTTATCATTTTGTATGTATATAGGTTGCTGAATTCAACATGTGGTTGCCAGTAGATGCTTCAACCAGTCCACTGTCTGCTCATGGTGAGGTTCGTCCCAGGAACTTCCCAATCTATGTCCTCAATGACAGTCACAAAACATTACAAATGCGTGCTAAAGTTGTCAAGGTAAAGAACATTTTTTAATAGCAATCTATAGAATGTGATAATTATCTCATTAATTTTAATAGTAAACTTGAAGTCAATTAAATATTTAGACTTAGAAGGAATAACGTAAAAATATGAAATAATATTTTAAATTATTACATTCTTTTGACTTACAAGTACTAAGATTCAAGCAAAAAGCTTACAAATAAAGAGCAGTGTTATTCTTAGAATATACCAATATACCAATAATAGACAATAGATGTTATTGCATATTTACACATATTTTATGTAGGGGGGCTAATTTATGACATGTATGTATGATATTAGTTTTAAAAACCTTTTTTTAAATTGTATTATTTATCAAGTAAATAAAAGCTTCAACTTGTCATACATTCTTTTGTAAAGAATAATATGTAATATTGCAAATCTTGTAATTGAATTCTATATTTATGTTTAGGACTGGACAACGACTGGCGGAGTCCTCATGATAGGCTATGAATTATATAGACTGCTCAGTATGAAGAAAGATAAAAAACCTCGTAAGAAAAAGAAAGCAGAAAAAAACGAAGATAAAGAGGATAAAAAATTCGATAAAACCGACGGCCCTGATGATAATCATGTATATATATTTTATTTTCAATTAGAATCGTATTTTTATTACTATTCTACACTTATTTATTACTATGTCTTATCTTTTATAGAACCTCAATAGACCAGATAATGGCAAAGACAAAGATGATATGGACAGTATAAATAAATTAGAATTAGAAATTAAGGAAGAGAAAAAAGAAGATACACAAAATGATGAGGACAAAAAGTTATTAGATGGTGAGAAATAGTTTTAACTATATACACATGTTATTATTAAAAATATATACAAACCAATTGTTTATAAATGGTTACTTTTTCTATAGACATTACCGTCAGTTTTAGAGATTAATAAATATCTCACTACATAAAATTGGTGTTGATATAAAAGAGTTCTTTTTATAGTTGGTAGATCCAAATACTTCAGATTATAGAAGTTTTGTAATTTAAAAATTCATCTATGGATTACATTCTTTTCTTTTTTTCTTGAATAATTTTCTATGCATTGAAGTAATTGGGTTAAAAAAAACATATTGTATTAACAAACATTTTATATTTGACATCATAGATTTTAACCATTCATTCGCTACTTACTGTTTTTGTTCTTAGAAATACAAACTTATAAAGACTACTTCTATTTAATATAAATATACAGGGTGACTGGTGAATTACTATCGATACTTGAGGACGTGATATTTGACGATCATATATGACAAAATAAAAATTAATATAACATAAATATTAATAAACTTCTAAGTAAAGTTAACCAAAAGTTATGTAATTAATTACGCATCGTGTGAACACCTTACAGATTAGTATACACACACACACACACGCGAGCGGCGGCGTAGTGTTGTATCAGCACGCCGCCGCACGCGTCCACACTTGGAACGTGTCCACACTTTATTTATTTATACGGAAATTTGATCAAAAATTAAATACCTATTTTTTTTACATAATTTGGATGAGAATCATGTACCGAGTATTCTCCTTAAATATTGATAGTAATTCACCAGTCACCCTGTATATATTACAAACCGTTTGGTGTAATGTTAGAAAACGAATTTGTAAACTAAGAAATAATTGAATATTATAAATTTTCAGAGATGTATGAAGCTTTGGTCAAACCAGGTCCCGATTTAGTTATTTGTGATGAAGGACATAGGATCAAGAATTCACATTCAAATATTTCATATGCTCTAAAACAAATGAGGACTAAACGAAGAGTTGTTCTTACTGGCAAGTGATATTATGATTATCATTGAATAAACCATATCAGTACTTTTTGATTGTAACTAAGGTTGTTTATTTTTTTAGGATATCCTCTTCAAAATAATCTTCTTGAGTATTGGTGTATGGTGGATTTCGTTCGTCCTAATTATTTGGGTAGTAAGACTGAGTTTTGTAATATGTTTGAACGTCCGATACAAAACGGCCAGTGTATTGATTCAACTCCTCAAGATATAAGATTGATGAGATACAGAGCTCATGTCTTGCATTCATTGCTTGTTGGTTTTGTGCAAAGGTAAGTTATATATTTCGCTAAAACGTATTATTTTACATTATGTATTGCATATAAATTAATTTTGGTTGAAATCATATACTTTTGTAGAAAAATCTTTTGATTCTTATTCTATAATAATGTTTTTAGGAGATCACACGCAGTATTGCAATCGACGTTGCCGCAGAAAGAGGAATATGTGCTATTGGTTCGCATGACACCATTACAAAGAAAATTATATGATCGTTTTATGAATGAAGTTGTTAGATCCGCGTCGGTTCCGAATCCTTTGAAGGCATTCGCTATCTGTTGCAAGGTATTTTTTTAAATAACATATAAAGTTTCTTACTAATTAGTAATATGTAATGTTAATCACTATTTTGTCATATATTATTGTATTTTCAGATATGGAACCACCCGGACGTATTATACAATTTTTTACGGAAACGTAGTGAAGTCAACGCAGCTATAGAAGAAGATTTAGACTTGGAAGAAATTGGTGGAGTTACAAAAGCCGGTCGCGCTAGGAACGGCAAAGCAACGAGACGAACACCAAAAACACGGGTATTTAACATAAATGTTATTTGTAGTTAGTAATTGTAGTTATGGTTAAATAAAATATATTAAATTTTAATGTTTACATTACAGGGTTCAGCAAAAAAACCAGCAGCAACAATACCTCCTAATACTACAGCATCAGTTCCACCTCGCCAAGAACCTTTTGCGAATCCACAATTTCCTACCAATACACCCTACGGACCCACAAATTATCCAAATCAACCACCGAATCGACCCGAAGGAGAGCAATCTACATCCACGTACCCTCAATATCCGCCATATCAGAACTCTAACCCAGGTTACTTTCCTCCCAATCAGGGATATAATCAAGAATATAGTAGCAATTTCTATCAACAACAGCAGCAACCATATGATAATAATTATTCCAACCAATATCCTCCAGGAAACAGCGAAGGTAATTATCCCAATCAGTACCCCCAAGGTAACAACCAGACAGCTGTAACGAATTACTGGGGAAACAGCAACTATTATGGCAACCAAGGATACTATGGCAACCAGCAGTATGGACCGAACCAGACTCCAACGGAGTTTAACGCCAACCAGCCACCAGGTTACAATAATACTACTCAGTATCCTCCGAATTACAACGCTCCTCCGAACAACGAGAACTATACTAACAATTCATTACCTCCATATGCTAATAACCAAGAAAATTATGGAAATCAGAATAGACCCCCCGGAATCCCATACCAGGGAGGTTTCCCCAATACTCCCGGTTATTCTGAATACAATCCCGCAAACCCGACATCAAGCACACCGTATCGTAATAATCAGGCTTTGGCCAGCCAAACCCAAGAGTATCCCAATCAATCGTATCCTTCAACATACAGTGGTAGTAACGCGTACGAGGGAAATTCTTCAACTCCATATAATCAATACGGAAACCAACGACCAAACTATTCAAATTATTCGAGTTCAATGCCCCCGCATCCGACTCAAGGAAACGTCATTCCAAATCAACCTCAAGTGGGATCTTTGCAAAATCAACGTACTATTAAGACGGAGCCTAATTTTAATATCCGTGATGTCAAAACTGAATTAAATGATAGAAACCCAACCTTGCCGTATAGCAATCCCTATAACTATCAACAAAATTCTTCAACATATCCCGGAACGTCCGATAATTCAAATTCGAATTATAATTGCCAGTTCCCCAGTTTTCCTCAATCTATGGAAACTAAGTCTCCTCTGTGTAGTGCGAGTTCTGGAAGTCCCGTGACTTCTTGGCCCTTAACGGAACCCATTAAAACTGAAGTCGATAAACTTAAAGCTGAAGAGAAGCAGGAAATAAAATCAGAATCGGACGGTGAGGTGAAGATCGAGGATTTAGACACGAAAAAGATCGTTAAAGATGAATGTAAAAAGGGATATAATATGATTAATTTTCCGAAGGATTTCGGTACACCATCATCTAATATCAACGAGAAGAGTGCTAAAGATAGTACGAAAGGTGACGTCTCCGAATCCGAAGTCGAACATAGTAAAAAGGGAAGGAAAGGTAAGAATAAAGATGACAAAAAAACAGAATCTAAACAAAAGTCCAAAGGAAAAGCAAAAGCAAAGGGAAGAAAAGACAGAAAAAATTCAAAGGAGAAGAATAATGATGATTCTGATTCAGAAGAAAGTGAAAAAGAAGAGAAGCCTAATAAAGAAGAGGAGTTGGCTCTCACTAAAAAGGCAGAAGAAATGACCTACGATTGGGCCACAGAATTATTGAAAGATTATATACCTGGAATTATAGAAAACTCTTCTAAAATGGAACTATTCTTTTACATACTAAACGAAAGCATAAAACTGGGAGATCGCTTGCTGCTTTTTAGTCAGAGTTTATTTACTTTGAATCTAATTGAAGACTTTCTGGAAAGAAACTATATCCCCGGTACTAATCGACTTTGGGAGAGGAACACGTCATACTATCGTAAGTATATCAATCTCAAAACTATTACGTAGGATTTTGCACAATGTGATAATTTTTATATATTTTTTAGGATTGGATGGTTCAACCCACGCCTTAGAACGAGAGAAACTCATAAATGAGTTTAATGCTAATCCTCACGTTCATTTGTTCTTGGTATCTACTAGAGCGGGTTCGCTTGGCATTAACCTGGTGGGTGCGAACCGCGTTATAGTATTTGATGCCAGTTGGAACCCTTGTCATGATACACAGGCTGTGTGTCGTGTATATAGGTATGTATACGTATAAGTTTATAATAAAGTAGCAACTTTTTGTAGTTTTTTTACGGAAATCTATCTATCTATCTAATTTTTTAAAGATAAAAATAATCCAAAGCCACACAAGGTTAATGGATATATTTTATTTATTTTATTGCAATATATAAAAATTACTTTTCAGATATGGTCAGAAGAAGCCCTGCTTCGTGTATAGATTCGTTATGGATTGTTGCTTGGAAAAGAAGATTTACGATAGACAGATAAACAAGCAAGGCATGGCGGATCGTGTAGTCGATGAATGTAATCCAGACGCAGTACTTTCTATGAAAGAAATAACTAATTTGTGTTTCGACAATGATGAAAAGGTATATATAAAAAAATATAAGTGAAACTATAAGAATGCTACATGTATCATCTTTGGAAACACGTTCTTAATACCCAAAATTATTATCTTTCCAGGAGCCAGAATTAAAAGATTTGTCAGAGCACAAAGATAAATATATAGATGTATTAATGCAAGGTATTATTAGTTTACACGGAAAACTTTTATGTAAGGAACCATTCCAACACGAGTCACTACTAGTTGATAGGAAGGAGAAGAAATTATCCAGTGCGGAAAAGAGGCTCGCTCAAAGAGGGTAGGTTAATTTCTACCTCTATATAAATGTCATAGTTTGATTTAAAATAAGTTTTCTATAAGTACATTTGGTTCAGCACATGATATAAAGAATCACTTTTTAACGTTTTAATTCAAATTATTTCGTAAAGTCATCGATACTGTAGAAGAGATTTTATAAAGGGATATATCCTAGATAGTTTTTGGTAAACATTTGATTTAGAAGTCAACATATAACGTTTTTTCACCTCAATAATTTATAGTACAATAGAAAATCTAATTCTCGTATTTTATCATGATTACTGATATTGTATATCCAAGAGCTACCATTTTTAATGTCTTAACTCTTAAGCCTAATTAAATAAGTAAATTTATGATCACATAAAAATTCAAATAATGAACAAAACGGAACGGAGCCGTGAGCCAAATTCAGTTAAAAACACGATAAAAACTTTCTATTTTTTTGTTATAAGGTTTACCTTGTTGTTTAAACAATGTAACTTATTTAACAAACGTGCAAACTTACAACTTTATTAACCCATGCTACGATTTATGATTATGTAATATATCTATAACACAATATTTTAGGTATGAATTAGAGAAGAAAGCAGCATCAGCACCGAAGCCGACGACAGCGTATCGGACAGTACGGACAGCGGACGGCAGCCTGGTGCAGCGACCCGTGGCATCCGTGAGACCGATGCAGCATGGCGCGAGGTGGATACCAGCCGACGTGTGGCGCAGGCAGGGAATGACAGCACAAGAGATGACGCTGCCGCTTGGTAATCAATTTTTTTTAATATGGCCAGTTTTATTGTAGTTTTTGTTTTGTCTATGGATTACCAGCTATTTTATCCATAAACTAGTAAACCTGGCGAACTCCGTTTCGCCACCAGAGCTTTGATATAACATTTCGTTTGGTGATTAAAAGATGAAGATTTTTTTGTTTTATATTTGAAAAGGAAAATTTTTATTTGAAAGTGAACCCAAAGTAGATACCGAATCGAAGCGTTATACGTGTCAGCTAATTATCCGTTTCATTGAAGTGATCCTTTGTAAACCACATTTTTTGTTTTTTGGTCTAACTTTAACACAAATAAAGCGGATGGTTTCCAAACTCGTGAACACGCAAAATATAACTGCCCATGTGAAAAACAATGATTTTCTAAATTTATCCCGCAAATACTAAATGGTTTTAAGAGTTCAAGCTACAAACACATTACCTAAATATTTTTATTTTTATATAGTAGATTTCTTACAAATATCTAATTGTCATCCATACGTCATTACATATCTGTCATTATACGTCAATTGCATAGCTGTGAATTGTATTATTCCACGTTTTATAATGACTGACGTTTCATGTCAAGTCCCACGGGAATGCTGTCGAACGGGATAAAAAGTATCCTATTGCAATTTCCTGGTTCTAAACTACCTCCCTGCCAATTTTCCAATTGAATTGAATCCAATGCAATTGCATTCAATTCAATGCAATAATGATTTTTTATATGATCTTTATTTTTCTTTCTTCAACTAGACTAGTTATTGATAAAAATATGTATTAATGAAAAATCGTTTATTGCAGATGTAGTCATACCTACAAACTCTGCTGAGAAAACTAACATAGTTCTAAAAGCTGGTCAAAGAGTGATGGTGCTCAAGTCTCCAAAAGGAATCTATATGCAATTGGAGTCGGGAAAAATTATTGCAATCAAAACTTCGTTTAAGGGACTAGGTGGGAAAGGAGATAGCAAAGATAATCCGGTCGGAAAGAAAAGTTAGTAACTGCAAAAATTTTCAATGTGATTTTATATGAAAACAAAACTTAGATATGTTTAATAATTATATTTCATTACAGTTTTAGGAAGTCGGCCGAATCCTGCAAACATTCCAGGATCATTAAAAAATAATTCAGCTATAACCATAACATCTAAAACAGGTCCAAGACCGTACCAGAGAGTTATAAGACCGTCCATGAATAAAATTGCAAGACCTATGCTACCCGGTCAAAAAATTGTTGACATAAGAAGTAGGTTAGGAGAAATGCGGTCATATTCAGCGATGCGTGCCAAGTTTCCTATGTCGCCGCGTATGTTAAGACCTACCTTACCGAAGTCGCTGAGTATAACCAAAATATCCAAGGATGGCAAAAGAATCACCAATAACCACAACGCTAAAAAGAATATTGAAGGGGAAACTCAAATTTTGGATAGTGACGATGAAGAGGATTTAAGTAAAGAGACAAATCCATCTAAAGAAACGAATCCTAAAGAAGACATAAGAGATAATAAACAACCAGAAGCTTCTAAGGCTAACACTGGTGAAGATAAAAACAGTGATAAGTCTCAAGAGAAAGATGAGACACCTACGGAAACAGAACCAATAATTCTTACGACAGATGAAAAAATACCCTCAGAAGAAGTTTTAGAGAATAAAGCCCGTGAAAGCGATCCGGATCCCCCGCCCGTGTCACAAAACCAACCAAGAGATGACGCTCCAATGAATCTTGTGAGTAAGAAGGATTCGAGCAAAATAAGCCAGTTGAAAAATTATAGACATCAACGTATCTGTAATCGACCACCCACCGAATCGAGTTTAAGTCAGTTAGAAAAAACTGCTAGCTCGTTGAACAAGGAAGGACTTCCTGATTTCAGAAGGAACTTGGATGATATTACTCAATCATATTCACCGGGAGTGGAAGACAAAATGGGTTCATCGAGAAAGAAAAAATCTCCGAGCAAGGTCGATATAGAATCTCAAATAGAACGGCAACCGAACCCCAGCATGACGCACAGTGTTTCGAGTTTACTAGGAAGCAATCCAAAGCCAAGAATGAGTTCACCTATTCATGGTATGCCGAGTTCAATGCCCAGTCGGCATACGAGTGGCATGCCATCAATACCACAGGAACATATACCGTACAATATTCCATCAAAAATCAGTCACGGTGGTATGTTGCCGACCAATTCCGTGGCACCTGAAGTACCACTCATAGGTTCCCCGCAAGTTCCGACTATGCCAAGCGGGATGCCAACAAGCCAATACGTCGGCAATCCACCACCTGAAAGTGCATACCCTCAATATCCAGGTAATTAATATCGAGACAAGACCTAGTATGTAATGTCTTTGAACATTTAATAACTTCTGATAATTTACCATATGACGTATTTAACTTTCGTTTTCTCTTTCATATTTATGATACTTTCAATACAATGTACGTTAAGCTACCGAATAAACAGAATAATTTTAAGTTATGTATATATTTCAGCAGGTTACGGTATGAGTTACGGTGGTTACCCGAACACGCCGTATTACCCCGGATACGGTGGCGGCTATTACCCGCCGTACGCTCCGGCCGCTGGACACGCACCGTATACGGGGACTCCGCCCGCTCCAACGGAGCCCTACCTTCCACCCAACCCTCAGTGGTAGAACCGTAGAATGACTCACATACGACCACGTGACGTGAAAGTTCTCAATAACTTTATTTTCCCGCCAAAATATATCGATGATTGTTGAACGGCTTTTAGTATTTGACAGTTACAGCATAAAGAAATTATTATACAATGTACGAGTGTTCTGTGAACGGAATTGTGACAAAGCTGAGTGTTTTAATTTAAGTTGTATGTATTTTTGCCATTTATAATTATTATATTGTACTTAGAAGAAAAAAGAAGAAATAAATCATTGAATAAAATATACTCGGACGTCGCCGTCTTTCTATTTGATTTGTTTTTAAACATAACATCAAACTTTATATTGATTTAAATGCATTTTATATAATTATCTCTTTGTTTATACGAAATTGTAGTATTAGAGCCGTGATGTCTCAGTACTTATTAAGGTGTATGTGCTAAACTTGTCTCGAACAAATAAATAATTTAGTGTGAATAATATGTGAAAGGGATTAAAATTAACTATGTTGAATATCTCGAATAAGTAAATAAGTACATCGTATGTATGAATGCAGTATTTCCATTTCAACGGCCGTGGATAGGTCAATGGATGTGATATGTTGCTAATTTAGTATAAGTCAATTAGATGATAAGGAGTATTTATCGTTTAATTAGTTTAGATAGGTATATGTAATTTAGATTTTCTTAGACACTTTTGGTTTAATATTGATAATTAAGCCAGTTGTGTTTTATTGAGTAGAATGTATGTATACTATGCATAGCAATCTATTTATCATTTATATTCTAAAATTGTTGTAATCCAAGGTGAACCAACACATTCTGCATACAATATCTTACATATATGTTATTTGGTGTGTTAAAATTATTTATAGAACAATTTTGTATTTTAAATTTTGTTACCAAATGAACATTTTGGTTTTTTATAACATTTAAATGGAAGGAATAATAACTATATTATATCCATATTTTTTTAATTCTCAACTTTTAAATATGTAGTTAATTACATATGGCAGCTTTGTAGTAATTTATTTTTTACAACAATGGATATTTATGAGTTAATGTATAAAATTATCCAGATCAAATAATTTCACAATTCATATTAGATATATTGATTTATAATTGTAAAACACCAAATAATAACATTATTTCTTTCTATAACAGTAATCATACAACAATTACACGATGTGTAATATTGGTTATATGTATGGGATAAATATATTTTATCCTTTGTACAAAATGTTCGACGTCATACTTGTAGACATTGCATTCTAAATGGTCAATAGAACTGTACTGACGGTGTCGAATAAAAAAAACTAACAAAGTCTATTTTGTTTTTTTCTGGTCCATATAAAGTTCTTGTTTTTTTTAAAAAATGTGTTTCAATGTTTTGATTGTGATACTCTTAATTGATTAAACAAATATTCTAAGAACATAATAACGTGCAGTTTATAATGTTATTGAAATAACAAAATGTAAAAAAAAAAGATTTTATTGGTGGGGCCTTTTTTCAAAACCAATTATGATATTAGACATTTTGTGTGTTTGACGTACAATTATGATACCCTTATTTTAATAATCACAAAACAAACTATTCGGTCGTATGGTTCTTTCTAAAGCTTTCTAAACAAAGTGTTTTGTCCCTAAGCAGATAAGAACAAATTTTTCATACAAAGATTTTTTTTATTCTCATTTTAATTAACCGACCAGCTTTGGCCCGTGTCTTTGTTTGCATGGACTTCGCTTCGGGAAGAAATTAATAACGTACTTCATAATAAAATAGATCTGTATATACTATCGACAGCGTTACAATTTATAAGGTCCTAAAATATAAAATTGGCGTTTTGTAAGGGAGCAACCTCAAGTCTATTTTTTCAACATATATATTATATTTATTTAACCGAAGTATGTACCATTGCTGTTTATGAACTTGCCCTCTCACAGAATTTGTAATTGCTAACTCGCAAGATTCAAGAACGCCGAAGTGAACAATATCGGCACTACACCAAACACTTACAAGTAACTTTTTTGAGTAAATTTTCGTTTGAAAATCCCTTCATTACTACGCCGGTTCACTAATGTAACGCTGCAGTCTATGCGGGTTTGGACAGCGGCTACGCTCAATTCTCGAGAGACCCGCATTTCAAGTTTTTTCATATTATTCGACTTATTTCAAGTTGATTAAAACAATTTTATTACTTACACCCCAGACTGCATTTACCTCGAACGTGATTTGTCATGGATGCTCACCCATAATAGCCTTCAATTCTTCCTTATCAACCTTGGAGTCCAGCCGCCCAGGGGGCTTGTTTTGCAGGTCGAAATTTCCAGAAGGAAAACGATGGAACCAAAAACGCAGCATGTTTCCTTTTGTAACACCGACGCCATCACCACCACCACTTCAGTCATGTGAGGTCCTCTGCTGGGCATAGGTCTCCCTCATCGATTTCCAAGCGCTTCGGTCGAAAGCGGCCTGAACCCACGGCCTTGGACTAAGTTGTCCGTCCATCTCGTTGGTGGACGTACGATGCTCCTCTTTCCGATTCGTGGGCTCCATTCGAGAATTTGACGGCCCCAGCGGCCCTCTGTTCTCCTTGCTTCATATATGGCCTGACCACTGCCACTTCAAAGAGCTAATCTGTGTAGCTATGTCGGTGACTCTCCTTCTTCTACGTGTGTCCTCATTTCTGATTCGATCCGTAGAGAAACTCCGAGCTTAGCTGTGGAGAATGTGGGGACATTTGAGTAACTCGGATCCTATTTATAAACCAACGACATTCAGATCATTCAATCCTAAAAGTCATTTCTGCATCACTGGTGAGACCACCGAACTCGTAAATAACGTGATATTTTAAGTTTTCCATTTTATAAACTGAGTAACGCAAAGAAAAAATCATAGAAAACAAATGCATAACGGTTTTCGAAAACTAAAAGCATGAGTAAATAGCTGTGTAACGAATTTGGAATACCAATCCAAAGAGGAGATATTTGAGATCAAAGTGACCAGTACGACAAAACGTCAATTTCATATGTAAGGACCTATATTAGATTACCTACTAATAGATGTTGATAGGTGATATAGGGAATAAACTGGGCGGTGTATTTCTATTAAGGCAAAACTAGTTATCTCTTAGGGCTATGAAAATTAAATTCTGAGTGATTCTCAAATATACTCAATAAGCTTATAAAATTTTACAATTATCGGTGAACCCGTATTGAGGGAATATTAATATTGCTACAAAAACGTTACATATATGTTTGCTTTAATGGATTTCGTAAATCAATTGATGTATCAACAAAAGAGCCCTATTATTACAGTTCAGTAAAATAGGAAGTATACGAGACAAAAAAATGAAAAAAATTCATTGTGGTAAAACAATTAAACCGGAACAGTGAGGTCTGTTGACTTTATATAAATATACATATTCGATAGAAAACTAATTCATTCAATTCATATTTTAATTACGAAAAACATTGGCAAAATTTCAGTAACAATTGAAATTTTGCCAATTTCCTCATAATTTTTTTTAGAGAAAAAAATCTTAATTGCACTTCTTATCAGAATTGCAAGTATCTAAAACTGTTCATTTTACGCACTGATTGATATCGCAATTATGCGCAGACGGTACCGCAGATCTTATCTAACTTATGTTAAAGAAAATAAAAGTTTAAGTTCAATTTCCTATACAGTAGAGCGAAATTGGTCATCTATAAAATGCAAGCGTGACCGGCGTCCGCCTTCATTATATCTGTGACAGAAGGTAGGCTAGCGCAGCTGTACCGATGTCCACAAGAGTGTTGTGTCGGTTAATAATTTAAAAAGTGAAAGAAATAAATAGATCAGTGACGCAACTAGAGATTTGATAATAAAACTAATAGAAATGTGGGTCCTACCGTTTTGTGTGAGTAAATTAATATTTTTTTTTGTGACAATTTTTAATGTCGCTTATTTATACAAGTCCTCGATGTGCCAAACGATAATGCCAAACATTGCTACCAAATTAAATTCTCCCCCTAATTTCTTAAGCACCAGGCATTATTTACGACGTTGTTATTTATATTATAGATGTTATAGGGAGTCTTGAAAAAATAATTAGAGCGGTTTTAATAAATATACCTTTGAATAACTGTAATTATTAATCAAAAAGTAGGTATTTATGTAAACACTTCAAAAAAATCGATTAATATTCGATTTTGATTTTAATAACACGGAGATGTCGATGACATAAATATAGTCACAGCGTAATTTATTATGAATCGTTTAATACCTTACGTAGGTGTATAATAAATTAAGGAACAGTTATTCAATCAGAACACGACAAAAAAAGTTACGGACTTTCTTCCTTACTTATTTGTCACGTAACTAATGATTCAATATGGTGTTATCAACTTTTAGCTTTTCCGAGCAAGTTATTGACTCTGTCTCACTCCATTAGTTGCACTTTCATTTTAATATAATTCTCTTGGTAGCCGAGATAGCTCATTTAAACTATAATAGCTAGTTAAATGGGCTCAATGTTCTTATAACAACACTTCAACTGGTTTGCGTTGATTATTGCGAGAAAATATGTACATAATAACTACTACCATTTCAAGATACGCTTAATACATCCCGACAATAGATTTTTATGTAGGGGAAATGTGTGAAATGATGTGGCTAAAATTATTTATTATAAAGTCATATACTTATAAAAGAATAAATTTGAGAATTCCTTAAAACAGTCGAACATTTTAGATTTAAATTATATGTTTTTTTATATACTTACCTTCGCCAATTATTTTGTCTTTAATATGGAGATAAATGTTATAGAAATATGTTTTTTTAATGTTTTCTATGAAGTTGAAGTTTGACGGGTTGTGATCGATATTTTATAATACATCGTAACCTCAGACGTTTTCCTTCCTTAGTTTATAATTACTTTAGAAAGTAAATTTTCTGGGGCGGTCCTAGAAAGTGCAAACCCATTGGTATAATCGCATATTTAATTGCAGTTCAGGTCACTTAATTAAAGAACCGGGTGTAAAAAAATGAATTAAAACTATTATTTTTTTCATATGTATCATTATTGTATATGGCTACCTACTAAAAGATCTATCTGTGAAGCGATCACAAACTAATGTGTGAATATTTACCTATTAGTACACGTAATCGTTCTGTAAGTGAATTTCCTATTAATGAGATATATAATTACATAAATATACAGTTGAATAGGTTGTTTATTTTCCTACCTATTTTAGTATAAAATGCAAATACTTTATATAAATAACCTTTACTTGCTTTCGATTGACATTGATAGCTTTTAGTATAACAAATTGTAATTTAACGGCTGTTTTATTTCACCTTAAGCAAACAAGCGAAAAACGATCTTTGATTTCATTGGGGTTGTAGTCTTGTAGATAACGGAGATAAATCAATAAAATATATGTAAATTTGATGTAAAGTGCTGTTTTAATTGATAATCGTGAATACTTATTGTTTAGATTAATAAACTTACCGTGGGACGAAAACAGCAACCAAATCTCTTTACAAAATTCATTCACTATTTGCTTTTATTTGAAATGTTAACTTAAATAGGTATTGTGAAGCATCTTTCATAAGATTAGATAATAAACTTGAAAAAAAGATACCTCTTCCAAAATTTCATGTAAAAAATCTTTTCTGTGTCATAGTTCATCAGACGCCTTTTTATAAATTTTATTTTAAACAGATACACTTTTTCTAACAATGGCACACTTTCTGAACAAAATACAACGTGATGTAATTCAAATCATTTATTTTTAAACGTTTATTAGCTCACTTAAAAAAGTCCATTTTTGTTTTGTTTTTAGACGGTGTTGTAATGTTTTTCTAATTCAACAGGTTTTGGTGTCAACCGTAGCTGTTGGAGGAATGAGAATACCTATAGAAAACACTAATAATGATAATTTACAAATAGTCCCTAGTGCAAGTACAACTTCTGAAAGTCTTCAAGTTCAACCCATTTATTATACTGCAAATGCGCAGAATCTGGACAGCTATATAATACCTGACCCCCATAAGACCCCTCAAATCCAGCAAGAGGTAATAGAGGAAATACCGACACCTGCGACTTATTTACTGCCACCTTCACCGTACGCTCGCAATGAATTCTTCTTAGCAACTACTGAAACTAACGAGGAAAGCGATTGGTATCCCATTCAGAGTGATTCTCAAAAACAAAGTATCAACGAAGGTCAGCCACTTGAAGAATCGAATCTTAGATCGGGTAAAGCATTGCATAGGGGACAAGTTTTTTCAGTCCCCATAAGGAATCTTCTGCCCCCGAAAGAAAATGCTCCCAATGACTTCATTGTCGTCTCACCGTCTGTGGAACTAGAATTACCAATAGAAGAAATAGATCATACCATAAATAATCCCACTGCAGAGATTACCAAGCTAAGAACACCAAAAACAGAAAAACACCATTTTAAAATAGACAACATACCACATCGTCATATTTCACCCCCTAAATATAATCTTCAAAAATACACATATCCAACTAAATTGTATCCAAAGAAATATATTGGTGAATTTAAACCTATACCGATACCAATTTCTCAATATAGCGATGGTTCAACGGACATACCTGTTGCTAGACCTGTGAAAGTGATTAGTCCAGATGACATTAAAAATGGTTATGTACCCATAGAGAACATTGAAAACTCATATGAAAACATTCAAAAATTAAATCAAAACAATGAAGAGGCCAAGGTAAAAACGGATAAATATTCAGATTATACACTGCTATAGATATTGATATTTGTTATAATATGTTTAAATTATAATATACCTATTATTACAGACAACTGCTGAAACTGTAGCGCCCCACAGTGAAGTTGTTCCGTCTGAACAAGATACGTCTGAAACAAACTTCCGACATCCGATACGTATGTTATTAATACAATTATTTATATCTTTTTTGAAAGCAGCCTTTCAGCGCCAAAGTCTCGTTTAGTTTTCGTTCTACTTCAAAGATATATTTACGTATAGGTATACTAAATTTACTTATTACCAAAGTTTTATGGAAAACTAGCTTTCCGCCCGCAGCTTCGCCCGCGTGGAGTTCGGTTATATCGCGTTTCCAAGAGAACCTTTCAAAAGTCTGGGATAAAAACTATCTTATGTTCTTTCTCAAGGTCAACTCTATATCTGTAGCAAATTTCAATAAAATTAGTTCAGTAGTTTAGGCGTGAAAGCGTAACAGACAGACAGACAGACAGGCAGAGTTACTTTCGCATTTATAATATTAGTAGGGATTTCTGGATATACCTGCTGACTTCTTATTTAAATCTTGGAGCTTAGAAAAACTGATTTTCCCTATTGCGAGTGTATCCGGTTTTTGATAAATGATTCCGAATAAATTCGAGAAAATACTTGATATGATTAGCCTGTTGTATTAATCTGGGATGTATTTATTTGCTTTAGGCGACGCTCATTCAGCACCTGCGAAGCAGATATCTCAGAAGCATATTCCGTTAAAGTCTGACGGCAAACGCACTGAATTTCGAATGCATGGGATGAAAGGTCCCCATAGCTATCAATTTGGTTACGATACTGGAAAAGGGTAAGCAACAATCAATATTAAGTCTATAAAGTAAGGCTCAAAAAGACTAGTATCCAGAGCGGTAAAACATTTACAAAAAAGTGTATAATTTATATAAAACTTTAATATGAGAAATCAAACATCATTGGAGAAAATCATGAAATTTATTATTCATATAATATTTCAGGAAAAATCGTCAATTCAGATACGAAGAAAGGGATAATGACGGCCATGTCCGAGGCCATTATGGTTATGTTGATAGAGGCGGGAAACTGCGTGTTGTAAACTACGATGCCGATCCTGTTCACGGTTTCCGGGCCGAGGCGCCGGTGGAAAAAGATACGGAATAAATTTATTTAAAATAACCTAAAGTCTATCTATGGTGCAGTTTATTGTTGTAAATATTTTAATTATACTTTAAAACGTTATTGTTATTATTTCTAAATAACCATTTAAGATGACTTTATTTTTCATATCGCTTTTCAAACAATTTACTTAATTGTAAGCCGTGCCATAGTATATTTCAAATTTTATTTGGAAATTTATAGATGTTGATATTAAATTAGAGAAAATAAAATTCCTGTATATTATTAATAATATATTGAAAAAGTATTGTTTATATATTATATGTGTTTATAATTGTACGTAACAAACATATAAAAATATATGAATTATATTTTTCACAATTTGAAATATAAAAAAATCTAATATAATATAAAACTTTTAACATGTAATAAAAATTATAAGTATTGATGTATGCAATATATTATTGAATGTTATCACAGAACTTTTTGTATGTCCCTGATTATGACATCAAGTAGACTGGAAGCACCAATACGGAAGAGTTTTGGAGAGAGCCACTCTTCTCCTAATTCATTATAAACCAAAGTGAGCCAATTAACAGCGTCTTTGGATGTCTTGATACCTCCTGCGGGTTTCAATCCCACCTATAAATACAATTTATGATTAACTCAGTTTTAACCACAATAATCAATTTATGCATATATATTATACAATAGAAATCTATATTCTGATTATTCACCTTAGTTCCAGTCATCAGGTAATAGTTTCTTATGGCACGACACATCACTAATCCCACTGGTAAAGTAGCATTCACAGCCTCCTTCCCTGTGGATGTTTTTATAAAGTCGGCTCCAGCCATCATTGACACTATGGAAGCATTATAAACCTGAAATATCAAATAAAAATAAAAAATTCTAGATTCTTTATTTTTTTAAAACAAATTTCTAAGTATTTCTTGTTCTTTTTATTCTGTTCTAGACTGACACCTCAGACAAAAGACAAAGATTTAAGAATGTTTTATTCTAGAGATTGAGAAATAACAGTATATTTGGTTAGTCATAAGCTGGCATAAACAATTGGAAAGGGAATATAGTTAAAAGTTAAGATAGAAGTACATACATTTTCATAAGAACCGAGTTCTCCCACTCCAAGGATAACTTTTAAATGTGCTCTACCACATGCCCTCTTCATCTGAAGTAACTCATCATACAATGTTTCCCACTCCCCCATGAGGACGAGGCTTCTATCTATTACCACATCTATCTCAGTAGCTCCATTGTCTAAAGCAAACTTAATTTCCTGCAAGCGTGTGCTTAAAGGATATTGTCCAGAAGGAAAGCCTGTTGCCACTAATAAATAAAAGCAATATAATAGGATTTATTTTATTACCTGATAACAAATAGCAAAAATTTCTATTATCATACCTGATGCAATTTGAACATCTTTTTTAAGATTCAACCTGGAAATGGTTTCATAGGCATCTTTTATTCGGTTAGGGTAAACACACACTGCTGCTGTTCTAACTTTTATGTCATTTTGATCTACTCCTAATGGATTGGCAGCCTATTAAAAATTCCATAAAACAAAGAAATGGAAAAGAAATGTTTATAAATGTTTATTTCACTTTAAGAGAGGTAGGATATATAAAAAACTACATACTCTATTGCACAGTCTGACAACATTTGAACGGGTGTCATCACCACCAAGTGTTGTTAAATCTATCACAGAAATAACCCTGTACAGCCAATCCTTATTTATGGGATTAGAAACTGGAAACCTGTTTAGAATTTTCTCAACTTGTGCATCAATACTGTTTTTGTTAATATAGACTTCATTCAGAATTTTTGTATCTAAAAGTGAATTTAAACACATATTACAATACATATTTAGATTTATTTGAATAAGATCATGATGAATATATAAAATAAATACTAAAAGCTGATCTGATAATATTTACCTAAAGTTTTTGGGTAAACATGAACCATTTTCGTGTATAATTTTTAAATAGCCAATGAAGTAAATATTTAATGCAGTTTTAACTCTATAGGTATATAAAAGAAATACAAAATTTAGTTATTCTTACAAAAAGCACAGTGCTTCACTTTTCCTAGCAATTCAACATAAGAATTTAAAATGTAATAATCTTATCACAAAATGATTTAAACGAGTTATGCCAGTAGCAAAAAATACTGCTGATAACAATAAAATGGTCATTAATCATAATTCAATAATCAAGTAACCAGCTGGCAACTAATTATATACCTATTACAATGAAGAAGTATTTTTGTTATGTCAATACTCAATTGTTAAAATAAAATACGTCACACTTGACAGGGTAATAAATTGTCAAAAAGAAATAGGATAGGTACTAGCTAAAGTGCAAGAAATTAATATGTATGTTGTTAAAATTATAAATGTTATATAACTAGTTTACGTAGTTTTAAATATCTAAAAGTTGTTATTTTATTATTAATTTAAGAAAGATTATCCACAAAAAATAATACAAAAAGTCTGTTACGTCTAGTTAAATTAATGGTTGTTTTCTATTAACTGGAATACGTAAATTTTGAATTAATTCAAAAAAGTAATAAAAATGTGAATCGTATTACTTTTATATTTATTTGACTTAGTTTCTCTTATAATGGACCTACACAGTACACAGTCTAACATGTTTACGTCTCAAAACCTAGATGTCGCTTTTCAACGATATTTAAATGTTGTGAATACTTTTTTGTTTATCACTAATCCTTTCTTAATTTTGAAGGAGAAAACTCAGATAGGAACATTCCTATTCCTATTCCCAGGATATTTATATTAAGTGATATATTTTCTCCGTTGGTTGAAAATTTGACAATAAATGCAAGACAATTTTATTCATAAGTTCTCCTCTGTTGCAAAAAATATTTTATAACTTCAAACGAACAATGTGGGTTTAAAAAAAAAGAAAGACACGGTACTAATAAAGTTAAGTAAGCGAAGACGTCCATTATAAGATGCCGAAATTAAAAAGCAGTCAATTATGTGACAAAAAATATTGTTGACTCCATCATAACTAGTGCTTTGGAATTTTATTCATATATATAACTATGTCATAAGGGAAAATTACCGTTATAAAAAACTCTTTTCTATTGTTATGGCATTTTGAAAAGCAAGGTGAGGATAAGTAGCTCAAGCGTCATTGTAAAGGGTATCAAAGGTTCACAGTGAGTTTTTTGTTTTTCGTCACTTGTACGGCCTTAAAATATTCAGATTGAATGCTCTAAAATGATGACTTTTCTTTCTCTCTCTCTAAAATGGACTTCTTTATACTTATTTCACCAAAAAGCTGCGATACAAACTTATCCTGTTTATCCTTTCATTTTTGTGGAAAGAGTCGTTAGATAACTTGAAGGATGAAAGTTTAACGAGGCCTTGAAAACACAACCAGTCTTTTGCGCTAGTGGTGACTAGTTCGAGGGACTGCGGAGGCGCTCGAATCCCCGGCGATTATCATCGGTACCAATCGGTACGATGGAGCTATTCTTGGATTATGTGGTTCATTGGTCTGTTTAGGGACTACAGGAGACCAGAGGAGCACCCGTCTTCGGATTCCGCTACTATCCATGATCAAGTTTAGGTTACAACAAAAATCATGGCGTATTGTACCTACTCGACTCTAAACTGGCCATAATTTTGTCATATACATGATTTTAATATAGAACTGATCGGTTAAAATTTAGGGGGTACCTAAGTTTGCTATTTTTGAGTAAGTACTCACGCTATATGCAGTTAGGTTAGTTATTTTGGTTATTCCAATCATATATGTTGTAATTAAGATGAAGGCATCAGCAAAGAAAAGTTTTGTATATAATATATTAAACTATGCTTAATCTATTGCAATCTCGTTTATTTCTATAAACATTCACACAAACGTCACATGAATAATAACGTTACATTTATTTCAAACCAAATAGGATACAAATATCCTAATATGTATATGTAATATTAGTATGGCTAGCCCTAACATAGAATATACTAATAAATACGTAACTCTATGTTGCGTACAAGATTTATAGACAAAAGAGATTTAAGATTTGTGTTATCATGTTATATCTATTTCAGCACCGTGTTCTGCTTATACCAGAAAATGTTTTGGTAACAAATGAGTATACCTTTTTACCGACTTCAAAGGAGTTTCTCAATTCATTGGTTTTTTTTTTTAATGTTTGTTTTTAAATCAAATTAATGTATAAAGCTATGAAGCATGGACAGATAAAATTAATTTTTCATCTTCTTTGAAGTTAATAGACAGCTAATTTCTACATCATGGTGGCTCAGAAATCCTAAAACTAACACATCGTTTGTCACATTTTAATGTTGTAATTTTTAAAATGAAATTTTGTTTCTCTGTATTCTGTGACTCATTAGAGATGGTGAAATTTACTCAAAATGATTTAGGAATATATTTGATTTAGGTACATTTACTATTAAAGCTTTATAATCTACACTTCTCATTTGAATACAATTTCAAAATCAATAATATAATTTATATATAACTATATATTGTATTTTTATTACCCTTTCTCTACGTCTAAAAGCACCATCACAATTTTACATACTTTACTAGTGTCATTAAAATTTTATCACGTCATCATATTAAATATGCACATTTTATTATCGTTTTTATTATGTGTTTTAGGTTCATTTATAATTTATGGTGATAAAATTTCTTCTTTGAGTGAGAAAATGAATACGATTGCGTATATCATTGTGCTATGGTATAAAACAGGGATAGTATTTCAATTCTATTCAAACTAAAACTTATATCCACACATGTATTCAGTGACCTTAGTCTTTCAACAATTATCATATAAATAAATAAAAATTCATAGTTATTATAAATAATATTATATAAATATTATATAACTTCATCTATAAAGGCATATTGTAAGTTATTGTTAGAAGTTATAATAGATTGCAACAACGCAAGTATTAATTTCAAAAATATGTTGTGGTATGGAGCAAATTATATATTATGTACCAATTTTTCCCGCGTCATCGTTGGAGTGGAAAGTGACCCTGGACATATTTTTTTATAAGATACTAGTAAACCCGGCGAACTCCGTTTCGCCACCAGAAGGCTTTTATATGACATTTTGTTTGGTGATTAAAAGATGAAGATTTTTTATTTCATTTCAGAACAGTAATTAATTCATTTCGATTACAAAAATGAAGTGTTATTTAGTTGAACTTCTCTAAGTAAATGAAAGTGTCCGCAAATTATCCGTTTCATTGAAGTGGTCCCTTGTAAACCACATTTTTCTGTTTTTTGGTCTAACTTTAACAAAAATAAAGCGGATGGTTTCCAAACTCGTGAACACGCAAAATATAACGCCCATGTGAAAAACAATGTTTTCTAAATTTATCCCGCAAATACTAAATGGTTTTAAGAGTTCAAACTAAAAACACAATACCGGTTTGTCACATGAAATTAACTGAGCAGAGAACAATGAGTAGCTGTCAACCAATGTTGTATCATGCGACGGCACCATCTACTTAAAATATTGATGTAGTACATGTTATGTATGATGGCGCTGTATGTGACAAAAGATTTTCCCGCTTTTCTGTTGAAATTTTTTGTTATGTACCTCACGGAGCCCCAGACCTTTCCAACGAATGCAAAACCGTGGAAATTTGTTCGTTCCGGACCGGACTTATTTTTATATAGTAAATCTCTTACAAATATCTAATTGTCATCCATACGTCATTACATATCTGTCTTTATATGTCAATTGCATAGCTGTCAATTGTGTTTCGTTATTCCACGTTTTATAGTGACTGACGTTTCATGTCAAGTCCCACGGGAATGCTGTCGAACGGGATAAAAAGTATCCTATTGCAATTTCCTGGCTCTAAACTACCTCCCTGCCAATTTTCAGAGCTAAATCAGTTCAGCCATTCTTGAGTTATAAGTGCAGTCACTAACACGACTTTCTTTTATATATATAGATTTTAAGTATGACCATCGAGCTAAAAAGCATACAGGCAACTATGCAGTCGGCATTTAGGGACTCTTTACATTATTTTATAAACACTGCTTTGTGTACAACCTACAACATCCAGTCTAAGCTGAGGTCTATTTCTTGTGATCGATATAGATTTTAGGGCAACTTGCATTGCTAAATAAAATTTCCGTCTAATGTCTATGGATATATGTATATGGATAGTTGGATAGTTAGATAGTTAGATAGACTACAAATAGATATAAATAGAAATAATAGATGAAAGGATAGACACAAACGAATAGCTAAACAGACAAACATAAATTACTATTTAATAATATATTTTTTTTGTATTGTATTTATGATTGATAAACCGAAATGGACGTAAGTATCCGAAAAATACATAAAACTTGGACATCCTATACTCAACAAACGTACCTATTTCAGTTCAATTACACAAGTTATTTCCCTTCAATTGATGTCATAGGGCGTAAATACCTACTTATGATGAACGTTATTATAAGACATTTAATTTCCTCATTTTATTAGTTTAAATGTTAAAATTGTACACTTTTTTATAATTAATTATTATAACATAATTTTAACTTACTTTTGTACCTTAACCGGCCATTTAAATAATTTTAATGAATCTATTGAAAGCAATTTCCTTTATCAGGCTTAAAAATTCTTTAAAGTACAATATTACAATAAATTATTTATACTGAACTTTAGTGTTTGTCTTTTTATTGTGTATTGTTATCAATTAATTGGTTATTCCTGTTTTCCTGGCGACATATAAAACGTTAGAGAATCTTCGTAAGATGATTAAAAACATACAGAGTGGCCAAATCAAAGCCGGTGTTGTGTTGCTGTCATTTTATGTGTGATTAAATCAGATCCAATGTTCTCTTTGAGTTGGAAGCTCAAAGGAAATACTCGTGATGTCCTCTTATTTATAGGGAATTATCTAAAATACATTTGTGTTTTGGTTTATTTATGTGTTTTATATATGATATGTTTACTTGGAAAACGTGCCCGTTTTTGAAATACTTTATTTGTCCGTTCGCTCTTGCTAATAAGGTACTCTAATCAGACCTGGAGACGAATCTAAATCTATTAAAACACAAAAAGTAGTTGGAAATTACGCAATTATATATTCATACTGAATACTGTATATATAATAATATAAAGATTCAAATCACTTCAAATATCATTATTCCTCTGGAATTCTCTTTAAAAGCTGTTTGTTTAAGATTGAAGTGGTAATTTTATCCAAGCGTATTCCAAGGCTCTTTGTAATATTTTGACGTTATATGTAGAACTACCTACTATACTTTTAAACTCAGTATGTTAACATTTTTGAGTGTTAAAAAAACTCGTTGTTATGTCTGTAAGTTTTAAGAAATAATCTATGAAATATTTATAAAAAATCTTTTGCCGTACATCTTCTATATATGTATATAAAAATGGATTGCTGTTCCTTAGTCTCGCTAAAACTCGAGAACAGCTGAACGGATTTATCTTATCTTGGTCTTGAAATGTTTGTGGAGGTTCAGGGAAGGTTTAAAAGCTGAAAAAAATAGATTCATTACCGGGAAAACCCTAAAAATAGCTCTTTTCTATTTCCCATACAAACGTTTTCTTTGACATTAGATTTGACAACTAACCATGTACTATGTCAATCATTCTGTTGATTGAAACAGGAGAAACCTGATTATTAATGGCCTCTAGAACGGAATAGAGTTCGCCCGGTCAGCTATACATATATTACTAATGACGAAACTAACGCGGACGAAGTCGCGGGCAAAAACTAGTATATTATAAATATTTGACTTATTATTTTTTATGTATGTACAACGAGTTGTATAAAATAGATTTTATACAACTCGTTGTACATACATAAAAATACTTTTTCTATAAAATTTAAATAAAAAAAAAAGTAATACATAGTTTAAACTGAACAAAACAAGTTAATAATTCTGCAACATGAAATACCTTTCTTTTGTTAATAATATAAATTTCTGAATGTATAAAAACCAAACTAGGTTAAATATTATTAAGTAAAAAAAATTTTTTATCATTTAATCTAAAAAATTTAACGGAAGGAGTTGAACATTTCTGTGTAAATTTTTAAATCACATAGTGTCATAGTTATGCGTTTTAACACTGCCAGAAAACGTAAGAATTAATAACGTCATTTGTTAAATTTATTAAAATTTTGTTTAATAAGAAACAAAAAACAAAACTGAAAAGTATATACTGCAACGAAATTCAGTGTACTTATATGTTAATTCATAATTATTTTACGCATTTAACTGGTAATTTAGACAAACCTATTTATCTAAACTATGGAAAAAATAAAGAGGGAAAAGTCAGGAGATATATTAAAGACAAAAAGAGACGATAGAGACATTCAGGTTCCTTAAACATCTTTACCAATTCGAATAAAACGATATTTGAATTAAAATACAAATAATACGAATTTTTAGAATTCATATTTTATTTACTGTTTAGTTTCGTGTTTCAAAGGTAGGTTGCAGAAAGTACTTTGAGACAAACTTTCATATTCATTATAAATTTTGAGCGTGAAGTCGTGAATTAGGAATTTGTTAGAGTTGTAGCTAGAGAAGACTCCTGAAAGGCTTACTGAAAGCTAAGTTTCTCTTTACATATATGTGTTATTATTATATAAATTTGAGCATCTCGAATAACTAGCGCAATATTATTTTAAATATAAGCTTAAATGCAAGGGCCAAAGAGAAATTTATTTTAATAGTGGCTATTAAGATTGACAATAATTCTACTTAATTGTTTTTGCATTCTATGCTATAACGAGTTACCACTAATTTGCAGCGACAGAAAAGATAGAAATTTATTATTTAAAAATTCTGTCACGCTCCGTATCTAGTTTAAATTTGCAAATTTGTAGTAAAGGCTTTCGTACACATAAAGAATGATTAAATCCTAAGTCGTCATTACCTCTGTATTATCTACGTTATAATATTAACAGAATATTACAATGTTAATTATAACTTCAATATGTTCAAAGTAAGAGAACAAACCTTGCATTGTCTTGACAAGTTGTGAAGTGTTCTGCTCGAGGGATGTTAGGGGCATCGTATCATTAAATTATTACTTTTTTTTAAATATAATTTAATAGTAAATGTCAATTATATTTAGGTAAAAGTATGTTTTAAAAAGGAAATATTTCATGACTTTGAAACAAAAAATATAGATTTCAACTATCTTTCTCTGATGGACCTGGCACCCATACGGCGAATCCATGGACAGCTGAAAAGTTTCGTCTCTATGCATATAATGTTTGAATATAAAATATGTTTGTTTCGAGTTCACTATACCAGAGGTTAAGCAAGTTAAGAAATTAGTTATTGTGTTCTTATCATCCAAACTGAAAATAAAGTTACTGTCACAAAAAGTTTATACAAAGCCATTGTTGCTTGTGACGACTGTTCATTTGCAAGTATTTCTTCAAACTTGAAGTGACTTCATCTCTTTGGATAAACATTTTTATCTTCCTTATCTTATAGACAATTTTTTTATTTAGCAATATATTAAACGAAAAACTTTTTAAATAGTAAATAAAATATGGAGGAATGATTTTTTAAGATATTATTGTTTGTTCTTTTAATAAAAAACTTTATCAAAAATGCGTCTAAAATATGTTTTGCAAAATATATTCTGTTAATGCAAATGTAAGAAAAAGCAATTTGTGTCCAATTTTCACTTCAAGATAAAAGTAATAATTTTTACAGTTATTAACATCTATCTAGGATTTTTATTTTATTTCGCTTTTCCTTTGTACATTTATTTCTTCGAAAATTGATTGAGATAGATATTAATCGAACCTTTACAAAACGTAAGCGTTTCAACTGAGCTGGAAAATACAAAAAAATGTCTGTTAATAGCAAAAGGTCTTTTTAAACAGCTCGAGACTGACATTAATGTATTCGATATTAATATTGATTAATTCACACTTACAATACTTGAATGAAGTACGTGTTATAAAAAATATTTACCATAAATATATTAAACAAAATATAAATCTACATGATTGTACTTAGTATTTGTTATAAGTTATAACCAAAATAAATAAAAGAATCTTTTTATAAAAAATATACTTGTACTAAAGAATATTTCTCACAAACACATGAAATATATTTATAAAAGTGGTATTAAATATACAAAATATAAGTAATCATAACATTCATTCATACTTATATGCTTGGAATAGTGATAGAAAATAAAGAAAATAAATAGACAAAGGTTTTACTTTAAGGACCTAAATGGCTGCTTTGGTCCATCGTTTGTGTATAAAAGGAATATATAACTTAAAAACAATATACATGTATAAATATATAGAAGAAATAGTACATAAAAGAGGACACTAATAATATAAACAAACTAAAGGATATGATTACTAACAAACAATGTTCTAGTTTCTTTTGGACGGAATGAAATTACAAACAATATTTTCATTTATACTTATTGATAATTTGAAATAACAATGGAGAAACTTGTTTAATCCAGTTTTCTGAGACAATATTTTTTCAGGTAACATTGTTGTTGGATATTTGATAAATAAAAAACTTATATTAACGACAAGACGGAATTACGAATAATGACAAACTCAATTTTTACAGTTACACCGAGAGTGTTTGATATCGTGCTTTTTAATTATTTTATGTTTTGAGTAATGACTAGAATTATGAATTATAAACTAAATAAATATTGGTAACATAATTTACTGATAGATTCAACATTTATTATGAAGTATTGGGTAAAAAAATAAAATGTTTTATTATTTCTATTTCTTATGTATACTTAGTATAAGAAACCAATTTCTCAACTGCTGGCAAGCGCTGAAGATGCCTTTCATTTTATTACTTCTTTAGTGCAAAAATTTGCATTTTACTATTTGTCTTAACTTGTTGGGTTCCAAAAATTAAGTAAATATATATTTTCTTGAAATAATATTTTTTGTGAGTTAAAATTAAGTTTGAGTTTGTTAAAAATTAAGAATACGATGCCACTATATAAAAAATAAGATAGAGGTAGGTAGAGGTATACTAGTATTTTAAAACTTATTATTTCACTGTTGCTTGGAATATTTAATTTCATATGTTCAAGAAATAATATACAATTATTATCATAAATAGCGATAGGGACCAAAAAACCTTATGTTAATTTATCTTAAACATCAGATTCAGATAACTATCGTATAAAAAACAGAAAAAGTTATAATATGAAATAGCCTCAGGTTTGAGCCATGTACTGGACGTTTTGTTCTTAAAAGGCTAAAAAAAATAGTTTTCATTTGAAGCAAAGAATATACATTTTCCTTGACAAAGACGTTAACTTCTCGTTACCTGGTACAGACTAATTGCAATTGGATGTACAAAAGAAAAAACTTATAACATTGTGGAATCGTTTGTAAATTTGTTCGAAAGAAAATTCAATCTGGGGAGATATATAGAAAGAATATCTTATATTGAGGGTGTTCAGGTTAAAAAAATATATTGAGACACAATAAGTACATATTCTCTTCTAATTCGTGCCTTCAGCTCAAAATGAACAATGGCAAACCTCAAAATCACAATCACAAATATAAAAATTTTATATATGTCACTTCACTTTGAGATGTAATAGAAATTGACCAAATGCCACCTTCTCTTTGAATTATCTCTACATTTCCTTTTTCTTCTCACCTTTCTCCGACGTGCAATAAAAATGTTATTGCATTCATGTATTATTTTATTACAGAAAACACGTTTTTCATTTGTTTTTGTATTTCTAAGATAGAATCAAGGCTGCCGCTCTTGTACTGGTTGATAACTTTTCTCTTGCGGCGAAGCCGATGTACTATCTATCTGTATATCATAGGCAATGAACGCGATCGAGGTGTTCATGGTTGCATGTTTAGTGGCTACTGACGATCCGGCCGACTCACGCTCCTCTACCCATGTTTCACTCACCTCTGTCCCAACTGAAGGTGACATCACCGTTGCCACCTCAGAGATGAATATTTTACCTGCGAACCAACACCCCTGTCAATAATTTAAGGTTGAACGTTTGGGACCCATAATAGTAGCAGAAAAAGCAAAATATTTACTAACAACCATCAACGATGTAAGAAGGGAGACAGTACCGCCCAATATTATATGAATGCCAACAAAGATGGCTGCCGCTTTTAGTTTCCTACTCTATACTGAAGGACAATTCCTATGAGTTTATGCCTTGTACAGCTCGTGCCTACATCGGAAGCTATGCCGACACAGGCAAGTTATGTATTGACCAGGGCCTGGAATTTAAAGTTCTCGTGTGCTACATGTGATGAACACGTCAGTTTTTTTTTGCTATAAAATGGCTGATTGCCAAACTGAACTTCCCTGTGATGTATGGTCATTACTCAGTGATCGGTAAAATCTATAGTATGACGCTCCGTAATAGGATTTTACCTTAAAAATGTTAAATATCGTTGTTTAAAGTTTTCTATGTGTTAAACGTCATCAGAATTTATAAAAATGTAGATGGTTTTTCAATAATATCTTACTGTGTAAGCAAAATATTTCCCTCTGAATTATTAAACAAATTTACATTCAATGGTCGTGTGGGATTGAAATGACTCAGCTATACTTTACCTTTCAAAGGATTCAGAGGCTTTACTACTCCTTCGGATAACTCTAGTGTTGTATATTTGATGTTAAAAATATGTACTTCTATATTAATAAAAACTTACATACTGTTACTAGAATAGGAATATATTCATCTAACGTTTTATATTTAAAAGAGTTTTTTTATTACTTTTTTTATTTTGAAGTTCTTTTTCTGAGACACATCTTGTGTTAAATCTTATTAATATTGTTACCTAAAAGATAAATCATTATATGTGCTTCAAACTTAAAATTTTCCGGTTAATTTATTGGAACATCTCTTCAACATCTGTACATATAATTAGTTAATAATATGTTACTTGCATCGTATTTTAAGGATTAAGAAAATATTTTGTGCACTATAAGTTTTGGAAACATTTACTTTTTGACTAAGTAGACAAAAAATATGTATTGTTATGTAAATAATCAAATAATTGCAATACATGAAGGATGAATTTCTATTACGTATATAAACGTTATAATATGATAGAAAATATAATGGAAGCCTAAAATAATTTGAATTTGCTAAAGGTGTGGTGTACTAGTTGTGTATAGTAACTACTATGGATTTAGTGAATTCATGTTATATTCTACAAGAATATAACATAACAAGTACGTGATTTTGGGAACTAAATCAATGACATACGAATAAAAAAAGAAACCTATTATTATCAGTAATGAAAATTTTGTTACTTTGCAAATATCAATGCACAATTTCCACAGACTTATTGTGACATGTTTGCGTGATTGAAGTTTGTAGTATTCATTATTATCGGGTAACAAAAGATTTAATAATATTGTTAGAAATCAAATCATGCTGGAACAATTTATGTTCTTAATATTTATTCGTAAAGGAATCTATTGCTTTCAATGTTTATGCGGGCTTACCAGTGTGTACAGATGTAAACAATTCAGTATTATAACGGGGTTTTGTTTGCAATTGTTGATATAATAGTGAGTGCAAATATTTCATGTGCATTGATGGAGTGATTGAAGTTTGTATAAAATTTCTAAACTATCTAAATGACATACCTTCAAAAGCAACTGTTTTTTACAATATGATATTCGTGAAAACATTAATTTGAGATATGTACCGGTAGCTTTACTTTAAGTTTGAAATAAGCATGAGATTACCTCTCCATTGAATTTTACAATACAGGTTACTTGATAATAAAAAGATAGTACAAACACATTGCAGTGAAGCTAAAATGAAGGATATTATTATCCTTTCATTGAAACTCTGTCCATGCGTCCATTTGACGTCGGTTAATGTAATTCAATTACAGCGATATAATTCAAAGAGTTTTATTTGAAATTTGTTTCGGTATATAATAATTAATAAAATCTAATCGTTTCTTGTTAAAACATTAATAGTTCCTTATTAACGTACATTGGTTCTTCACTTTCAGCGATTGGTATTCGAATATGAAAAGTGATTTAAATATTATAAACTACATAAGAAAGACATAAGATGATATTCTATATAACCACTTGTTATTTGTTAACTACATATACTAGTAATATTTTAATGAACATTAAATATTCTAATAAAAATGGATTAATATATAACCTTGGTGTGCATGTTCTGGCAACTTTTTCAAAAGTTTTAACAGAAATAAATATATACATTTTTTATAAAATTATTTCTTTATAGGTGGTAGATCCTAGCTGTGGTCGTGTAACCACAGCTTGTTCATGGACTTGCTTGACTGGGTAAATACCAACCTCTCGCAGAAGATCGGCGTGAAATAGCTTTTAAGGCAGCCAGCGTTTCGTTTAATGAGTGAGAGAGCCGGTTGTCCTTTCCTTTGTCCAGCCTCTCCTGCATTTTGTTTTTTCCACACTCTCATCTTCCTCTTCCAAAATCAAGGCTGGCAACGCATATGCAACATCTCTCATGTTGCAGATATCTAATGGGCGACGGTGAGCCCGACATCTCATTTGTCACCTTTGATATAAAAAAAGATAATAAAGTTAAATATAAAGTTTGATCAAAATCACATTCTTGGAAATATTGTTATCAGAAAAAGTTAAATTTTCTATAAATCTGATCAATTTAACATGAATAAATATTAATAAATCTCGTGATCTTTGTTTTTAAATCGTATCTGACATTATGTAGTAAACAATAATAGACTATTTAAGGATTGTTTATTTTTCTTATTAGATTCAATAAAGTTAAACTCAAAACTTTTAAACTAACAACAAACAAGTGCCCAGAACTTTTGTTAATAAAAAGCAATGTTGTATAGCTGGACTAGAATTACAAACCCATTGTGAAAATCCGGACATATTGTCTATTGTCATTGAAACTTATAGTCATAACCATGATAAGTTAATAAGTAAATCAACTCTTCACTCCATTCATATTATATCGTCTCAAATTGTATTTAGTAAGACAATGCATGTTGTTGTTAGAGCTCATCGTATAACATGCTTTTAAAGAGAGGACAATGTTAATATGTTTTTGGGAAAATGTTTGCAACTTTTCTAAACTAACACAGTTTACTAAATTCCAAATGTATATAATTTGGATTACCTTTGTTATCCCTTGTGTTGTTCATATGATGTATAATGTTAGTACAATAACGTAGAATTAAAAATGGTCTTATAATTTATGACTTATAATTCTGAAAAAAAAATTACAATTCATATTCATTACTTAAATTATTTTTCAAAATAAAAAAGCACAACCTGTTTTATAATGTAAAACCTCCATGTACATAAGTATTTACATAATTAATATTTTCAGGCTAAGATATGAATTTCATAATAGTTTTATTAACAATATTTACAGACAAATCACAGTTTGGTGTACACATAGACTTTTGAATAGAAAATATGTTTAAATTAAGGAAAAAGACGAATAATAAACAACTGTCATTGCAAGCAACTTTTACTTAAAATTCAAATTTTTCATATAAACAACAGTCATCGATCATGCCACAAAAATTTATGACTGTTTAAGGCTTTAATAACAAACGTTTTAGAGTCGGCCGTAAATTATTTAGGTTTAATCACAATTTTTTTATTGTTCATTTGGATTCATTATTTTTAAATACTATAGAAATCATTATATTGTTTTAGGGGTTATATGGTGACTTACTGTACGTCTGTTAACTGAAAAATTGTATTTATTAAAAAACGAAATATAAGGATTCTATAAATATAGTTAGGACCAAATATTGATGGAATTTGATATCTAATAGCATTGATATTTTGTTTGCCCAAACAGACGTTGAAAACACAAAGGTACCTACCTACACAAAAAGAAAATACCGTCTCAATAATGGTTTCATTATTTCAGATAATTATGATAAATATTATTTCGACAATAATAATGAATGAATAAAAAAAAATATCGTCCTATAAGGAATTTACAATATTTGCTTCTAAATTGTTTTTTTAATACCATCATGGAAGGTAAAGAACTTTATGACCTTTCATCCTTTGACATTTTATCGGTGGTATTTATTTTTTAAATAATAAAGTAAAAGAGTTTGGCTAAAGTCCGGTTTTTGTCTTGAATCTCAATTTTATGTTCTTCTCTTGCTTGCGGTTTGTTTAAGGAAAAAAAACGGTGATCATTGTAAATAAAATTCTTCACTTCTCAAGATATTGAGAGGATGGTTATATTTATTTTAAGAATATTTAATATTGTACCACACTATACTGTCTTCCAAACGCAGTCCTCTAACCCTCTGGAAGAAATGGCTAATAAGCCATAAGGCCGCCTTTTGTCTCACCATTAGTTTTTAATTTGAATTTTTTGTATTGTAATTGTGGTGTATAAAAAAAGTATTAAATAAATAAATAAATATTGTCATATTCACGTCAGGTTATTATATCGTGTTCCTTAGGAAAAAACTGCCCTGAACAATTGAAACATGTAACTGTTAAGATCGTCTGCGACAAAAAAGATATGTTGACATGTTTTACCTCCCCTATCCTGCATTCACTTAACCCAAAGGATGACTAGATTTAGTTGAGCTATAGAAACATATTTATTATATTTTTCTCACCTAATATTTTATTTTCTGTTTCGCAAACTTCATCTATACCTATAATATATTTCCTTACGTACTTTGAAAGGATGAAATAATGGAGTCAGATTTAGTAATATATTTTTTTATAAAGTTTATCAAAGTGAAACAAAAGTATCGGGAAGATTATATAATAACAATAATAGAATTCATCTGTTTTTAATTAAATATTACTTAATTTCGACGCTTAACATGGACTTGTATGTAACTACAGTGTAAACTCCATATAACGACACTCGATTTAACGACAAACTCTCTAAAGCGTCGAATTCATTTGACTTTGGTTGGTTTAGCTTGTCTACCATACAATGGTACACTCTATATAGCGTCACAGCCACTCTCAATAACGACAAAATTAAGTAATAAAAAGTACCCTTTAAGTTGCTAAAATTAATAAAAAATGCGCAGCTGTGTACGTTTTTTTGTCGCTTTGTTATCCTAGCCCGCAATAAACTCCACTGTCGTAATCATGCATACCAAACTTTCTAAGAAATTCGTTCTTCACCAATATGCCTCAATATCGCAAGATATGAATAAAATACGTAAAAAATACAACAACATTACTGGTAATTCTGATTTTTCTTCCCTCTATTTAACGGCAACTCTCTATAACGCACTAAAATGCACGGTCCCTTCAGTGTCGTTATATAGAGTTTACACTGTATTTGAAAGTTAAATAATTATAAGGAAATATTATTTTTATAAAAAAAAGAATATTCATATACCAATTAATTATTTTATTTTATTGTCAACCTAACACCCCTAACACCCCACGGCCTTCAAAAATATTTTGTTGAAAAATATTAAAATTTAAATTTAAGTAATATTCTATTTGGATAATACTCTGATTGATATGAATTCATAGGTAGCGATGTTGAATTCCTGATAAAAGTACATTCGTTTTTATTTTGATGGAAATCTTCATTGTTTAATATATTTGATTACAGTGAGAAACGAGAAAGAAAGTAATTACTGGGTATTAACTTACGATTCTCAATAATAGTACCTTATTATTTAGTTCTAGGTAATTTCACATCCACTAATATATGTATATCCGTTAATAATTCGGTGTAAAACCTTTTTCAATATATGTACATTGCTCTTTTTCGGCGGAAATCTATATCAGTTATCTTTTATGAAAGCATTTATGTAACTAGTTTTCGTAGTAGCTGGTATAATTTAAAACAAAAGTTTAGTCAAAACCACTCAATTTTACAATAGTAATGTGAGGAGCCTTGCTTATAGTCTTTTACAACGATACTTAATGTAAGGGCCCTTGCAAAAATCATTTTCACCACGTTTTTTAGCTTGAAGGAAATATTTCAATTTTTATTTAGATAGGTTTCATTATGAAATTCAGTTAAATACCTTTTTGTTTTCATATTCGTTTACTACAGCTTAAATGTTATATTTGATATGATACAGTTTTGATTATACATACCTATATACCTATATCGGCGCTATCAGCTTTTATAACGGATGCGCGATGAAAATAATTTGAGGCTGTCCTCAATTCTTATTAAAACTCATTAGTATTTATGATTATTGTTAAAAGTAAAACGAAATCAAAGGAGAATAGAACTATGTTTGAATCTTGTTATAAATATGACGTCTGGACTCACGACGGCGGACTCCAGAATTGGGACTTCAGAATTGATAATTCAGAGTTCAGTGAGTGTATATGTGTGTAGTATGTTATTATGAAAAATCTTTGAGAAATACAGGAGCATTAAGATCAATTGAAGTTTCATTTTAAAACATCATGGAACGCTCTAGAAAAAGTGACATTTGTAACGTCAGCGAGACTGGCGTCCCTCTCTTTAAAATCAACGAATGTGTAATAAATCCGATATATATATTTATAACAATCAATACATAAATAAGAAGAGTACAATATTTAAAAAATAAATATTTACAATAGCGGCACTGAAATACGGGTTACTTGAAATTCAGAATAAATCGTTTGACACTCTCAGAATAAAAATGAATCTTTTTATGTGATTCGTCCATTGGTGATGTTTTTGTCGTAATTTCGAAAATTTATTCTGAATTGAAATTAATTACATAAAGCGTGTTTAAGTAATTTTGTGCAAAATATATTTTAAAAATACGTATCCTTTTTACGCTCTCAATTAGCATAAAAAAACTACTGTCTTTTGTGAAACCTATTTTGTATAAAAGGTGCATATAGTCAGATATAGAGGTGCGTAAAAATTATAATACAAAAAGTTTAAGAGTCTTCCTGTTATTATTGTTATAATACATCTGAAAATCTCTGAATTGTCCTTTTTTGTATATATTCTTTTTCTATGTATGGTTGATATTTAGCTTATAATATCTATACTTAATGTTCTTTTTCTAACGATAACCAATGTTTTGGATTAATAAAGGCTTTATTACTATTTTTATTATTAGGTCTCGTAGTAAAGATAAAGATTAAATTTATTATTATCAATATTCTCCTTTAAATTTGGGATAATTACATGTTCAATGATATGTTGCCGTATTTGAACCTTAATATGTAAAATAATTTACATTCTTTTCACGTTTGTCGTTTTACTTCTAACAACTCATTATTCTTCCTCTTGTGAAGTACATCAACCGTACCTATTTTCATGAATTTCGAATCCTCAGTCTTTGTACATATTACAATTTAACTGTGCATCAAATGGAAGTTAGATATTATATGTCAATTAGGACGTAGTTTCCACGTATTTCTCAGTCCGTGTGGCAAAAGCTTGAAGCTACGTTTATTTTAATAATGCTAATGATAAATGTTCTTCCTTTTATAAAATTAGTTCTATCGTTTATAAAATTACAATTAATATGTTAGGATTTGAAAATTCTTAATTAACTTCATATTTCTAAATGTTTATAACTTTTTTTTATCTATATTCGGATTCGTTTATAATTCAACTATTTATATTTACTCAGCCTTTTAATAGTTTTTTCAAACTTAATTTTTTGTGTCAAAAATGAGAATTTCGAATTGGATTCTCGATGTCCTGAGATAAGAGAAAATATTATATAAATACTTCAACAGTACTTCAAATTCTCTCGCCAAACCTTGGAAGTTCAACAATGTAAAGAACGTGCCACGTGACAACTTGCTAGGTTTTTGTTTTAAATAATATAAGCTCTTTTTCGAAGTAACCATGAAACGGTTAATTTAGTTGACGAGCAGTAAAAATCCGCCTTTATTTAAAGTTCCTTTAAATTATGAATAATTATC